TCGACATAGATCATCTACGTTGGTGATCCACACTACCAATAGTCCGAGTGATCCTTAAGAGCATCAAAATCTGAATGTATGTCCAACCATTCCATCGCAGGCTCCATTGTGACGCCAATGTGATGGTTAGAAGTATTTGAATTACTAATACAAACTAGAAAACCCAGAAATAACACAATTGAATCAAGAAGTACTAGATAAGCACGAACGAATGTGCTGTATTTGGAATTCGAAAACAAGCATTCAAAAAGTACAAAGGAATCGTTAGTTCGCACAGACACCACACTGACCTATTCTAATCCGGTGACAAAGTCCACTCACTGTTTAAGTATAGTTCAAATAATAAAACAAAATTTCTTGAGGTTTGTTCTCAGAAATATGAGCAAGGTAGGAACGACAGCACTTATAGAATATGTTAATTTCACTGAATAGTACTTTTGAATAAATGGAGAATTATGAATCAGATCTATGCTTAGGTGGAAAATACTGAAAAAGGTTAACATACACAAAGAACAGGATGCTTTGTGTTTCGCACAAACCAAATTATTTTTCGTGAATGAAATGAAACGGTAGTATCTAATGTTACTGGCCTCTGTTTATCTTCCATCGGTTTCTTATTAACGACGACGGTAGGATCCGTTGGTATTTGGAAGAAAAAGTATATTGAATTATATGTTGAGATTGGAGAATGTGAGACACTGAAGTTGCCTTTTTAAAGGAGAAAAGGCGTGTAGGATTGGGTCGGACAATATTGATTGATCTGTAGTGACCTACTTTTATCAAGAGAACGTGATTGGTTTGATGGAAACAATTATTATTATAAGCAGTTGTACCAGTGATTGTTTTACTGTACTCGTTTGTTTGACTGTACTGAAGGCATTATTTCTTCCGTTGGTTGTGACACTGCACGAATTTGGTTACACTCAGTAACCACACTTGTAACCTGGCACGATCTCGGTATTCTTTCGATACCACGAGATCGCCAACAAATACATCTCGACTACAGCCATCAACTGCCTTCTGATATTTGGCCTACGGGGGATCTTACCGGTTAACTGGCACGTAGTTTTCCTGTAGTGGTGATCATAGTCAACCGCGACTCGATGCCACACTACAGATTAAACGCCTTCTGTTAGCAATGTACATTAAGATTAGCAAAGATAGTAATAATATTAACTGTTTACAAAACTGCTTGTTTTAACAAATTATCTTCATACACTGAAGAAACTGTAGATTGAATGTGTACAAAAAAGAAAGCCTAGGCAATCTATTGATAGGTACCTAAGGTAAAGTACCCAAAAATGCTCCACAAAATCAGCTCGTTCCAAAACTTCAAGTATGAATTGAATGTAAGCTCCTATCTAGATCATTATTCCGCTTGATAATAAATGACTGGACATATTTAATACGTAACTAAATAGGTTCGGGAAGCATTACACTGAATTACAACAACCAAGAAGACAATATTGTTTTCTAAAAAAGACACAAAATCACTCGGGAATTTTAATGTCGCTGAAGATTCCTGATAAATTATATCCGACGAAGCTGATGACATGTTGCTTCATTGGGTCCCTTTACATTTATATCCATCATTACTTGTATTCCAGAAACTTGAGGAACCGACTTATCATAATATTTCGAATCTCACATTCCAGAGATATCTATTCTTAAGGAACATAATCATGTTAAATAAATGTGAACAACACATATAAGCGAACAATTGTTTTCAATTAGATCGTCATCAGGCTTTACTCTAATATACATGAATATTTATACGAAAATGTTAAACCAATCAAGGCAATATGAGTCAATAATCACAATGAAATAGAATAAGTCACTACACATAATAGGTAAAAGTACAAGTTGATAGTACGAAGACAGGTGAACAGATAGTGGTAAGAAAAACTACAATAACAAAGCTCTTATCAATAGTTAATGGTTGGAAATAGAAGGTCAAATAAACATGGGTAAATAGACTAGGAATAGTAATCACAAAACATTAAAAATCATTACGTAATAAGATGTGTAAATAATTAGATAGTGAAGAATACAAAGAGGCGGATAATGACAAACAAATAATGGATGTGGAAATAAGGTTAACAATAACACAGATAGAATAAAATAAATAATGATAATAATAAAATTTGAAATTAAAAAAAAATTGTTAGTTAGGTTATAACTGGCCATGGAAGGGATAGGGGAGTCACGTATTTCTTCTGTACACATAGATTGGGGTTATATGTACGAATTCCAATGGCTTCAGCTATATATAGGAGACGGGAACGGACTCCGTCGGGAAATGATGGAGGTATACGATAGATAACTCGAAATGATTTCAATTAATCTACTGCATGACCGCTATCAATAAGATGTGCTAGTATAGAGCTGCGAATAGTTTTTCTCTGACCCTTTATGTACCAAGTTGGTAGATGTTCACTCATTCGTTGGTTAAGTTGCCTGGTAGTACGCCCTATATAGCTATCTCCACAGGAGCAGCTGAATTTGTAGATGCACATGGAAGAGGCCAACTCAGGTAACTTATCCTTCGTTTGAGTAGACACCGCTGGTCGACAAGAGAAGGTCAACGCAAGATTGGCTGCGTAGAATGTCTTGGTGATTACTTTGGTTAACCTATATTTCAGTGTCACTAGCCACATCCCCGTTGAATTGCACTTTCATGTATAAAGGTTTCTTACGAACAGTCGAAATCTCCGACTTCTTTATTATATCCTGCATGTATTTCTTAATGAACGCGCTGGGGTAGCCGATCTCGGTCAGTGAGTTGATGAGAAATTCAAGCTCCTGACTTAGAGTGTCTACTGTACAGATCTTTTTTGCTCTGCTCGTGAGACATCTGACCAAATTTCTCTTGTAACGGATGGGTGTGAAACTGCAGAAGTGGGTATATTGGCATGAAGAGGGGTTTCTTCTATACACGCTTCTACTTAATGTGCCGTCACTTCGTCTGGTTAGTGTGACGTCAAGGAAGCTCAGCTTCATATCATGCTCGCTTTCACCAGTGAAGGTGATCGCTGGGTGAACACTGTTGAATTGGTCTAGGAGTTCCTCTTTACTAGTGTTTTGGTCTACGATAATGAATGTGTCGTCAATGTATCGACAATATAAATCCAGTTTCTTAATAGTCTTATTGAGAGGTCCGTTTTCTAGGTTTGCTAGGAAGAGGTCAGCTAAAATCGGGCCTAGAGGCGAGCCCATGGCTATCCCGTCTATTTGTCTATAGTAAGTATTGTTGAAGACAAAATGTTATTGTCTAGCATTCTTAATCATCAAAACTCATATGATAATATGTATTTAGTACTTGACCATACAGAGAATCGAGTGAGAATTTATAATGGGTACAGAATTGAGTCATAAGTGGCACAAAACCCCGACATAGCAGTTAAGGCGAAGAATATCGTCGTATCTTGCATAATAGCTCTGATGGATTCCCTAAAAACCTACTTTTGTAAACTATAATCGATAGAGTGATCATTTAGTAGCAAATGTTCACAAAAGAAAGAGTTTAGAGGGCATCTGTCGAAAAAACCCAAAATATTCCTCGAAAAAATCCCAGAGAGGCCCTGAAAACTCTAGGAAACATTTCATCCAGTCAGCATTGAAGCTTCACAGGAACATCTACAACGTAAAGTCATGTGTCATATTTCTGATTGGATTACCTATCCTACTACTGTTTAACAGGGTTCCAGGACCTTCCAGAAACCCAAGATAATCTGAAATGATATAAATAGCCTCAATTTTCTGTACATAAACTAACCTTTGAGTAAAGCGTTCTTTCCACATTTCGCGCCTTTTCTCTCGTGTACAAGTTGGCATGTAGAGTTAGTCTGGGGTTATTAGAAGAGCTTAGGAAACTGATTCAAGTGTTCATTTAGAAGATTCATTAGTATTGAGCACTGATATTGACTTCTTTTCCTTTAATATGAATTATTAACATGGTCAAGCATCCAAATAACTGCTTGAGGCGCCCTTTTACTATGCTGGATAGCCAAACTATTAATCTCACTCTCATTTATTTCTGAATGTGAATAAATATAATATTTACTCACAGAGAGTGCTGTATTTAGTTTCACCAAGGATATTTTGGGTTTAGATATATGACTTGAGTAAAATATTTAGAGTAGATTGGTATCAGGATTATTAGATCCTACTTTATGAATTATATTCATAGAACATGAATAATTCCGATGTGAGTCCGTTTGAGATAATGGTGTGGCGATTGCATGCTGTCTTCTTTTCTAGTTATTTTTTGGTACAGTTTACCGATTTCCCGTTACGAACTATCTAAAGTGCTTTGTTACAACGGATGCTATCAAATTTATCATCTGTTTCTTTCTTAGTTTTATAGTCACATAAACACCTTCTTCAATAAGCTTAATGAGAAAAGCAACATACTTTGTGTTTCATTTCTTTCATTCATTGTTGCTAAGCCATTTACTTTTTTTTAGTTATATATTTTACAAGTTGACATAGACCTATCTCACGCAATTATCAATAACATACTTCTAAGTTAATAAATTTCGTTAACTTCATCAAATGAATTGACTAAATGGTAGAAGGAATTAACGTAGATTTCTATGAAACTAACTTTTTGTTTCTGGAGATCGTGGTTTAGAATTTCTTAAAAATCTCACAATTTAGTATCATAAATAATTATATATTTAGATATCAACACTCAATGGGTTATAATTAAAAATAACTACCAGTGAAATCGATGAACTACTTTTTTTTAGTTCTTTTTACGGTATCACAAACGGAATTAATGAAACATTTGATTGTAATAAATACTTGAGTTCATTTATCCTGCACTTCATAAATGGATGCATATTTAGAAATACAACGTAAAAATTATGAATACATAACTTGAAACTTCTCATGTGTTCAACGTAAACTGTGTACAAGGAGAGGAAGTTTGAACTGATTTTACCAGCTTTAAAAGTTACTTCATTTGCACTATATGATGAGAGATAGAATAATTAGTTTCATTCTGTTGATTTTATCTGTTGAAGGAAAATAACAAAAACAATTTATATGCTAAACATCTTCCTAAAAAACCATAAGTTTCTCTTCACTTAGGTGTGAAAAGTAATTAAAATTATGAACTGAGTACACTTTGCTGTGAACGGAATCTTGTTCATAATAAGGTACTAATCAAACGACAAATGAGTATTTAACTCTATATGTAACGCAAAACCTAACCCACGTTTATTTTGTTGTACCACTTGTAGCATGTAAATTAACTTCTGTTTCATTTGAATGTGCGGATTTTTCATTCATTTGATTAATAATAAAGCACAGGACTAACAGTCCTCCCAGTCTTTCCCAAAATTAACTTGTTCGTCATAAATGTTCTACAAATATAGAAATTAGGGTTGAAAATAAACTTATTTTACCACAAGGTTTCAAAAAGTAAATACTGACTCGTTGACCAGGTGTTTTATCGCCTGAGCTACAGAATGCAGATATAGATCATGTCATATTTTTCGAAAACCAGTCATCATTATTAAAGCTCAATTTCATGTGAATGTAAAAAAATCTCTTACAATAAAATGAAAAAAATAATAATATCATGTAAATAGATAATTCTTACTTTTAAAAGTAACCTCCTATAATATATAGAAGGATACGGATTAATGGTAAATTCTAATATTTATTCTTTACTTGCTAATGTCTCTGTTAAGAAAGCCTTACATAGGATATACATATTTCTAAAATCACACACTGGCTTGAAGCCTTTTTAAAACTTTATTCAGACTTCGAGATCTCTACAGGTAAACAGGAGGTGGAGCGATGAGACCTACAGTACCTCCAATTGTTGCATACTTTTTATGGATCCATTGGAAGAAACTTTGACTTTGAGATGTTCTTTGTCATCCAAATATTAGTCACAGTATGTAGATAACACCTTTCAAATTAGAAAGCGGGATGGATTAGACATTCTGAAAATATCAACTGTATATCAGATAGTACCAAATTCATCAATGACACCAAATTTGTTGACCCAAATAAGCATTTCTTGACTGTTTATGTGAAATATAATATAATAATTGTTTATAAAGTGAATATATTCCTAAAGTCATAGAATTCTCAGAAATATCCAGATTACAGATCAGAAAATGATCTGTCAGTAATATTAAGTCATTACAAATCTGATAAACAGAGTTCATCAACTTGTTATAGAACTGAGAAACAGATAAACCGGGAAAACTTAGTTGTACCAACAATGACGATAGATAAATATCATAAAAACTGTGAAAGGAATAGGTAAGAAGAAAGTTTGGGTCTAGGTACCAAGTTTCTATCGATGAATCTCGGTGGATAACCGTTTTTGATGAGGGTCTGTCGAAGATAAAATAGTTCCCCATCTATTGTGTCGTTAGAACAAATTCGCCTGATCCTTGAGGATAAAGAATGAATTAAGTTCCTTTTTCTAATTAATGGAACCCAACTGTGGAAGTTCGTGTATTGTCCGTTCCAAGTGGGTTTTCTGTATATCGATCTCTGTAATAAACCGTCAGGCATTCTTTTTAAATGGATATCAAGAAAATGAAATTCGTTGTTTGTCTCTGCTTCTACATTACCTTAAAGAACTACTTCTAAGATGTACGCTCAACGTGCAATTTAGATTTAATGATATTTTCTATAAACAAATAGATGGAGTTGCAATGGGTTCTCCATTGGGTCCTCTTCTGGCTGATTGTTTTATGGCGAACCTAGAAAATTCGGTACTTCGACCAACAATTGAAAGATTTCATTTATATAAAAGATATATGGATGACACTTTCATTATTTGCGAAGAAGACAGTGACCTCAATGATATTTTGAATATTCTCAATAACTGTCACCCATCAATCCAATTCGCCTTAGAAGCAGAGACAAACAACGAATTTCATTTTCTTGATATCCATTTAAAAAGAATGCCTGACGGTTTATTACAGAGATCGATATACAGAAAACCCACTTGGAACGGACAATACACGAACTTCCACAGTTGGGTTCCATTAATTAGAAAAAGGAACTTAATTCATTCTTTATCCTCAAGGATCAGGTGAATTTGTTCCAACGACACAATAGATGGGGAACTATTTTATCTTCGACAGACCCTCATCAAAAACGGTTATCCACCGAGATTCATCGATAGAAACTTGGTACCTAGACCCCATGACAAAGCATTGACAGTAGAGAAAAAAACTCTATTTATGAATATGGAATTTAAGGGAGATACAGCTGCTGAAATCCTAAATAAACGGATTTCGAAATCAATGAATAAAACATCCCACGCAGCTAAACTTCGAATCATCTTCTCTAGCCGACCTACCATTCTGGGGTGCGTAAAGGACAAACTTTCGCTTTGGGCCACTTCAATGTGTATCTATAAATTTACTTGCTCATGTGGGGCACGTTACATAGGCCGCACAAAGCGATCATTATCCAAACGCATCTCGGAACATTATCCGGCTTGGTTTTTGAAAGGGGAGCGAAAAACAATCACGAGTTCTATACAGGAGCACTTAATCAACTGTGGACATATCGCTCCAAAAGACTCTTCGTTTAAAATAGTTTACAGAGTCAAAGGAACTGGATCGAAGGGGGTTCGAATCAATATTTTATGCACCGCAGAGGCATTGGCAATCCACAAACTAAAGCCTGAACTTTGTGTGCAGAAACGATTTGTCCAACCTCTTATCCTTCCTTGGCCCTAATGGGTATGTTGTTAGGTGTTTTTTTTCTAATGTACTTTTATTATTATCCATATTTTTAAATTACTATTTTGCACTTTAAACTTTAATCATTTATTATTATTACCTTTCACAAGTTTTCTTGATTATCATTCAGTTTATTATTATGACCTTTGTTGTTTTGTCGTTTTTCTTCATATCTGTCAATCTGTCAATTGGACTATCATCTGACCCTTAAATTTTGTTCTTCCTTACCCCTTGATTAGTACGTTAACCTCATTTGTTATTTATTGTCGAATCCATTTTTCGTGATACAATCCTTTCTATCCTTCTATAGACATACATTTTCCATATAACTATATATACGAATGTAAAGCTTAAGTAAATGATTTCGTCGAAAAGAAAATTTTCTTCGCTGAATTCTCTTTTTCTTATTAAATAATTTGACCACACTGTCGAGTGAAACGTTGGAGTTATCCTTATTTTTAATCGCAAATATAAATTCCTTAATATCACTACTTATAATGCGCGGACAAAAAATTTGTTTCATAATACGTTATTAAATATCATATGTTTTATTATATATATTGAATCAAGTTTTGCAATTATCTGATCAGTACGGAGAACAAGATAGAATAATGTAAATCTATGTCGTTTCGAAGACTCTCATCAGCTGTTTGCAACCTGATAGTCAAAACTAAGTAATATAAAGAATATCAAAATGTTTTAGTGGAATGAGTGAAAAGTTTCCCTGATACTGTCGAACTGAATTCTGTAACTAGTGGCAATTAAATTCCTGCTTCTTTATGTCGTCCATATTGAAAAGATGATTAGGTGGTTATTCTATGAAAACATAATGACTACTTAGAGATGCTGTCGCATAGAAAAAGATTTTATTCTTGTATTGATAATCGTGCGAACAATATCGTAAGAGCTGAAAATGTTTAGGAGAATAGCACATGTTTTCCAAGCTAGCACCAAAATTATCAAGGTAAAATATATATTCACTCCTTACTTAGAAATCGTGTATCATTAGATGGCTGTGTTCTTTCAACTTACTGTCATTTTAAATGCAACTGTGATCTGTTGCTATCAATGGTATTGTAGATATATTTCCTTTCCTAAGTGTAGTATTCTTTTTATTCGAATCATCTGGTTCCATAGAACCATTGCGTATAAGTGGAATATTTCTTGGTTCTGATTGACGCTCATAAGCTTTCGATTTTTCATGAACGACTGATGAGTGATTGCTGTTTATAGTGTTGGGATCTGACTGTTGTTTTGGACCAAACACTACCGATGCTGTGTAAACTAATGCATGTGTTGGCGATAAGTCGTTTGTTGGGGATAATTTCTGTTTTATTGTTTTGGCTGAAGGCTTGACAAAAGTGTTCTGTCCCGATTCTTGAGGTTCTTCTACTTGACAGGGTTCACTTAATGGACTAAACTTAGGCCCGTTTTTTCTATGGTTTTCATGTTCCTGGTAACATTCATGATAAAGTAATTTGTTCGAATATGCAGAGTCATCTAACTTGATCAAATTTTCACGACGGTAATCTGATACTTTGGATGGTCGAAGGCTTCCTACAGCATAACCGTTGTTTTTCGCATTAGGTCTACAAAGTAAATCAGGTGAAGGGAGAGGTGTGTGGATTGATGCATTTGGTGTAGGTAAGTTTCCTTTTTCTGTCCAACTGCACTGAATGGCTTCCTTTTCCGTAGACTTATTCATTTCCTGAAGTTGATCATGTGCCATAATCTGTGACTCACTTGGAATTTTCTTTTTGAAAAATGAAATCCTTTTACCGGAAGACTGAAAAGATAAACATAATATGTGGATAAAAAATTAAGCAGTTATTCAAGCTGTCGAAAATATTAGTCATATCTATGGAATAGAAGATTTAGCAACGAAATATCAATATAACTTCTATAATCATGTTTTGTCCATTGACTCAGCATATATGTATACCGTGTGTATGTAACTAATAGTGCTGGGGTATGAGACCAGATGCATTACCTACAATTAATATTAAACTTTATTATTGTCTATTGAACTCCTAATATTATAATTAATAAGACCAGAATATTATAGATAGAATACAACTGAAAATAAATGGCTTTAATTTAATCTAATTATTATAAATTTTGTTGAGATTACGAAATGACCCAAGTTAGGCAATTGTTTAAAACCCCGAAGCTGTGAATGGTCACTTCGTCGAAGTATGGGACTTCTCATCAATGAGAACCCATGATCCGCAACCGGAAACCAAACTCCGAACCTTTGATCTCACGTGAACGCTCATTCGATATTTAAAAACGGCTTATCTTGTTGTAATTGGTGAATTCTTAATTACCATCTAAATGTTTGTCTTAAAATTGAGGCGTTTTGATCTTAAACTTTTTATCGTCGCGATGTTCTCTTCTGTTGGCATTAATACTATGAAACGATTGAATGTGAACAGCTATAAGCTAGCCGAGAGAGGTCTTAAACCTGTTAACTTCAATTAATAAGGCACACGTGAGACCATAACTAGTCCCACTCTCTTTTTACTGTTTATAATTGTTCAGTTTAATACTACCTTTATTTGTGTCGAGAAGTTTAACTTGTAAATCAACTCATGTGTGTTGATCACTAAGTGATATATATATATATATATATATATATATATATACTTTTAATATTTCATAAGCATTACTTTCGGCGTCTTCCTAATTAGGCTCAACAGTGACGAATTCATAATTGTTGCTAATAATAATATCAAGTGAGTTAGGTATTAGAGACATTATTTATGATGATATAAATTGACGATGGTTCCATCTATCTAAACGGAATATTCACTACTAAACAGATGAGATGTACGGTCCTGTTATAGATTTGATCACAGATCATGGAACTGGTTAAATAAGAGCATTTGAATTTATAAGTACATGTTGAAGCGTCCATCTTGAGCTTATATAAAGTGATTACCAATGTAGACTACTTGTCCTGACTACTACTAAGTACAAAACACAAAATCAGTGGTCAACAATAAGTCAACCTAAAAAAATATAAAGTTATTATGAATACCAGTTTTCAGAAAGGCCATATAGTTGTCAACAATTTTTGTGACTCACTGATCGAAAATCAATTTAAAAAATAGCTGTTAGACCAAATTATTCACCGCTTGATATTAGGTTATAATCACTTACTGATCGATATTTTGTGAAGTCAACAGGACTGAAATTTTGGTTTCGTGAAAACACCTTCAAATCTTTTGGCCTCGGTGGTTTAAAAGAACCTTCATTTTCAAAGTTTTGTGCAGATCTGTTCTGATGATTACACGAATAGGTATTATTGTTATTATTGTTATTAGTAATAGTAGTAGTAGATGTAGTAGTAGTAGCGACAGTATCATCATTATTATTTATACCTTTTTGAATAAATGGTGTATCGGTTAAATTCTTTTCTTTTGTAGAGTAATATTCGCCTCGGTGTGTATGCTGACAATTGATATTATTACCATTATTTAGTCCATTAAATTTCCGCTTTACAATTATAGGCGGTTTCTCATCATTCTTTAAACCATGATCAAAATGTCGTGAATATTTGGATGAATCATTATCATGATAACCGTTCGTAAACGGTAAACGAAAGAATAAATTCACTGACTTATTATTGATGGTCTTATTATCATTAATACTGTTAGTGTTACTACTATTATTGTTATTTCGGTTATATTGTTCTAGCAAATCCCGTTTTGTAGGAGACTCATGGAATTCACAACAACTGCAATGTTCACGTTTGTAATTTTCTGAATAATGTAAACCAACTGAGTTTGTACTTTGGCTGTTACCATTATGATATTCTTTTCTTACAGATAGTCGGCGCTTTGAAGACTTAGTAAAATTTCTGGGTTTTGGTTTACGCGGTATAGATCGGTGAATAATGCTACTGGGCTCTAAACTACCACTTCGATGATTACGTCCACTTTTATGTCCAATTACAACAGACGTATAGCTGGGTATATGGAAGTGATGTGGACAGTCAAACATTGGTTGAACATCTAAGGAAGAAGTAGAGAATGAGTAAGAGGATGCAGATGATAGACAAGGACTATCTGTTGGTGATGTATTCATAGAATCGCTCACATCATTATGTGAATGGTAATCCATTTGTTCACAATAACAACAAGGTGGGTAATTACTACGATTTACGCTGACTGGTATATTTGACGCAATAATATGATGTGATTTGCGGTTTGACGATTTGATATGCTTCCGTTGATATTCTTGAATATTACTTGAGGCACTTTCACTGGGAACTACACCTTTACTTACATCTTCAAAGCAAACAGAAGTATAATGATGTTCGGATGGCTTAGCATTAGTAATTTTGGAAAACGGTTCAAAAGAGTGAGCTTTCTGTTTTATACGTCTATATCCAGAAGGATTTGATACATCTATCAGACTCAAATCGTTGGTTTCTGTTCGAGATGAGTTGGGTTTATTGATTTTAAGGTATTCAACTGATTTATGACAGCTACAATTGCAATATTTAATGCGCTTTTTAAAGCGCGGAGTAATAACAGTTGAAAACATTTGGTAATACTTCTCATCTTTTCTGTGATTCCTCTTAAACTTTGTTCCCCCTTCTAAGTAGCATAATTGACGCCATGGTAAAGAGTGTTGTACCTCGTTTCTTGTGTTGAAGGGTGTTTTGCCAGCTGAATGTTTTCGTAATGAAACTCTTTTAATTGAATCGATACATCCTAAATCTGAATAAGGTGAAGATGAAGATAGTGTAGATGACGATTCTGAATAAGTTGATGGTGAAGGAGATGTAGATTCACCTGAGCGGGTCAATGTTGTTAACGATTCTGGAGGAGTATTACAAGATGAAATCACATTTTTGCTCAATGTCCTTTGTGGCTGAGAATCGTGTGATATGCAGTGATTACCATCATGATGTTCATGTGTAGATCTGCACAGATAATCTGGTAACTGTAGGAGAAAAACTGATAACTGAAGGGTCAATAATCCAAAATAGACAAATTCAATAAAAAATAACCTATAAACATCGATAACATACAAGACTTCAAACATTTTCAAGTAGATAGTTAAAATTAACTGACTGCTACCAACAGTTCAAAACATTTATACATAAGTACTTTTCTGCTTCAAATTCTAATTGTACGCTAAATAGAGTTGAATTGCTTCTGTACTACATATTTTAACAACAAAAAAAGGTGTATTGAGAGTTACTAGGTCAAATACGGTTGTATTTTTTGCTGAGATAAGTAATGTATTTGTCAAATAAAAAATGAAAAACAAGACTGTCTTTTTTCAGATGCTATTTAAACACAAACAATTAAAAATGTTATCAAATACATATGGAAAAAATATGGGATAGGGTTCGGTTTTAATAAACAGGTATCCTGAACTAAATAACCCCACATGTTGCTGGTTCAAAATATTCTTCAGATGATTTGTCTGAAAAGCCTTTCATTACTGTAACTGAAATGAGGTAAAATTTTGAGTTTGGTGTATTTTTGTAGCTATCTAACCATTTATAGTCATGATTGCCTTTGGTACATTAAATAAAAAACGTTTTTGGAGATGTAGTATTATAGGTTTTAACGTTACTGAAGTAGATATGATTATAGTATTACTGGAATCATGAACCGAGCTAAGTTAGACAACCATTTAAAATTTGGTAGCACTGGGTAGTTGATTCTGTTTGGTATGCAGTGTGCATCTCAAGACCCTGCAGACTGGGATCGAGTATTATGCCTTCGGTCACGTCCGCAAACGCATAACCTCTAGACAACTGAGCCATTATCCAATAGTGTACAAGTCTAATTTCGGTCATTTCATGATATCACATGATACTCTTCCATTATCTTTGGTGGATACCGTTCTCACACTTAACACGGTTGTACTCCACTGGTCACGATTTCTCACTAGAACATCTAAAGTTTGCTCTCAAAGCTAATCATTTGTGAGCACATGATAACTGTCAGTACGGAGTTGTGGAGAGCGTTAGGTTTTATCGAAATCACGAACCAATCTAGACGACCATCAAAAATCTGGAAGCACTGAACGGTCTTGTCGTCCTAGTATTGGTTGTGAACTCTCATGTTGAGGAGCTGCTTACTGAAAACGGTCGTTTAATGCTTCCAATATATCAATGCTTGTCTAACATAGTCGGTTCGTAATTTCGAAAAAAGTTTACAAACTTCATAATTTCATGCTGTCGATGATTACTTCAGTTGGTTTGTTTTATAAAACGTTCGGTGGATTAGAAAACATTATGAACTATATTACTGTGCTACCATCAACACTAACATTTGAATAGGAGGAGTTTACTAAGTAATCTTTGAGATAATTAGATATTCTTTACGAACAGTAAACATATGGACCTTAAATATCTACATATCTAATTAGTCAAGGATAATGTAGGTATTTCGCCAATCTTTTAATTAACTAGAAAGGTGGGTTTCTATGTATTTTTTTTATCCGCTTTTGTGAATTATTGACTAATGGCAAGTAGGATTCACACAAGACTATTTACTACCTGTGAAAGAGCTAGCATAATCTTCAGTGGTTTACTCTATATGACTTTAAGACTAGAACGCATGGACTTTAAACGTGAAGAAATTCCATCGGTTTGTAGTACGTGACTGAAAACAGTTGAAGAGTTGGTTGTGACTAGCAGTGCAACTAACTTACTGATGGTGATATTATGGGTAGATGTTCTGGTAGAACTGATAAATCTATTGAAGAGGTTGTACACCTTCACCAAAAGAAATATCTGAGGCATATGTTACGCCTAATAAGCCACCAATGGTCTCTATGCTATATACTAGTTATGCCCAAAGTTAACTGGGAAAAGAAAAACAAGTACCAAATCGACACATGAGTTCCATCAATAAAATCATTGTGTTGGTTTATTTTGTGTTTGAACGTACAGAATTCCTAGGTATTATTCTCAATATGACTATACCTATGTTTGCAGATGCTATCCAGTATAGCTAAAAATCAGTCAAAATGATTCAGATACGTTCAATTTTAATCTTTTAAATTTCGAAAATATCATGCTCGATAATTTTTCACTTTTTTCTAGCTGCATTCATAAGGCTTGATTTTCTACTCGTTTGTTCTCTTCCTGGTGATTTCCTCTCTCACTATTCCAATGTGAAATTTATCAACCTGTACTAATTTAAAATTTATGCCATGTCATACGTTCTTCAGTTTTGTCTGCCTAATAACGAAAAACCTAATAGTAAGGAGGTGAATATTCGAAAGTGAATTCCGTAATCATTCAATAGTCTTCAAAAGAAATAAAAGCAAGAAGGAATTTGAATTACACGATAGGAACTAAAAACCTTTTGAACACGGTCTTCACTGTTCATAGAAATGTATACTAATTGAGAAAACATGAAATTTAGACATTTTGTAGTGTGTACCATAACATTTTCTCAGAAAACTATGGCTTCTCTTTACAAATCTACAACGTTAGTAATGCAAATGATAAGTATGAAAATAACCTACATAATTTTTCTTGTTCTTTTCACAAGATATCGCTTCAAGATTTTCATACTCTCCGATAGCATGACGTCTTTGTGAGTTAAGATGATTACATTGAACTTTAGAACGCGGTTTATTTAAATATTCTTTAATTGAAAATGAAGTTCCTTTTTGTGTCATGCATAAATCAGGAGGCTGACCATAAATATTCAATTTATCTACATCTGTACAAGTTAAATCCTCGTGTAGACAAACTTCTGTATTGGAGTTGTTATCTTTATGGTCTTGAAGGTGATTTCCTTCTGTTATTGACTTTTGTTCTTGATCCCAAGATTTATTAGATGAATGACTTGTCATAGATTCTACACCAGGTTGGCTATCAGGATTTGTCAGATCTACTGATAAACCCATAGTTGCTTCTTCACTTCCTATACTACAATTCGTAAGTATAAGATTACCAGTGGAATAGTTACCACCACTGCTTGTACGCATTTCAAAACTTGACAGTACACGAAATGTTGCATTCGAGTCAATATCTGTTGAACTTGCTAAACTTAGCTAAATAAATAAAATGTTAAAAATGTAATGGTAGTTAGGAGAATTGTAATGATTACAATATTAGTATAGGGAAATAGATCGAGATTAAACTAGAGTTAAGTGTATTTATTATTGTAAGCAGTTCGATCTTAACTAGTTTATGTTGAACAGGCCATTAGACGAAGATTAATTACTCATTTTTCTAATTATATTATATTAAAAATAACCTGCAAAAATCATTCCTAATTCTAGACCTTTAAGGCCGCGAAAGTAATATTAATTTGACACAAAAGACTCGAGTTTGCATCAAAACCTTACCTTCGTTTCTGGATTTAATACTCGTTTTAGTTATAAATTAATCCACTAACCTAATGTACATATCCTCTTTCCTTCTACATTTTCATAAATCAAATTTCATCTAATTGGATTTAGTTTCTCTCTGCACATGAAAAGTTTATTCAAATAATCTCTGATTGGAAGTTTGATATAATTGTTAATTATATTGCTATTACTTTCATCCTAATTTAACCAGATTTATTATTTTGCAAATTTATTTGACTATCTGACTCGAGTAGTCATTATATTACCAATATTTTTGACATTTACAAGCACAAACTTCTATTGTTTTCATTCGTAAGGATATCGTAATTTTTCTATTCCCGAAAAGTGTAATATTTATTATTAGGTTTTTTAACAAACACTTTTTTGTAGATGCACTGATCTATCTATGATCTAATTATACAGAATATCTTCAATATATGCTAACAAATACTTGTCGATTATCAAGACAAAAGAACGTGTCTACAAACAAACAGTAATTTGGTGATGTTTAGTGGCTAGATTCGAGTTGGATTCGTGTGGTTCTAGTGAGAATTTATGATTTCTGGAGTTCATTCATGTCATGAGTGAGATAGCCTCCCATCTGTACCATTGGATAGTTATTGCTTAACACTATAAATTGACAAAAACTAAAGACAGGGACGATTGGATTTCGACTCAGTGGTTTAAATGTAATCCGTTCACCTCGACAGTTGGATTTGGATTTCATCTAAGGTGAGGTCGTGGTTACAAGTATAAGTCATATATGTAATACTGTACATCGCATTTCTGAACGACGAAGTGTATAATTTTATAGACTGACAATCGATCCTATTATTAAGTAAGGATTCAAGTGTAACACTAATGTCTGTAACTGTGATACATTATATCGGAGCTATTCAACGAATTTCCAATAGTTTAACCAATTAAAAAGTCTTATTATTTATAACAAGCATAATCTTTTGGCCTTTTAGATAACTAGTAATCATTTGAAACAGCTATAAATTATTCAAACACATACCGGTCTCTCATTCGTGTGGCGTCTATCATTTCTAAATGCGGCTGCATTTACATAATCTGGTGAATCAATTGACTGAATTTCAATATTACGATTACATCGAACTTTTAATCTCAAGGCTGTTTGGCTGCTGTGCGATACTTCAGATGGATTGCGCATTGAATCAGAAGAAATATGATTTGTTCCGTGACTCTTTTTTGAAGTTTGTCTGGACTCATCAGACCGTTTGTTAAAAGCTTTGTATCTATATAAAAGTGGAACGCATTATAAAGCACTAATGCATAGCATTATATTTTGCTAGAAGCAAATTAGTTCACTGAGTAATTTTTGTTAAAATCAAAGTATAGAATTTCTACTTATTTATAAGCTACAGAGTAAGGGTATGAAGAAACAATGTCATTTTGCTTTATATAACTTTAAAAAAAAAGTAATATTATTCTTTAATAACTTCATATAGGCAATTTTACGACATTGTGTAAGATTGTCTTGTCTTTGGTATCTTTTAATGCTTCTTCATAATTGACACTTTTTCTGACAAGCGTTATATCCCCAAACTATACAACATCGGTAGCGTGACTTTGAAGACGGTGACATTTCATTTGGTTATTCTATTTCCTACCACTCCTGCAGCCTCTTCTCGGTTTACTGTCATTCCCAAGCCCGATTAAAACAGAATCTACCCCAAAACAAAAAAGGAAAAGATTACAGAAATGTAATCTAGTGCCACGCCCAAACTAATAATGGTAGTGAGAGGGATATAGACCAGTTTTATGGGAGGCTGAAATCCGTTCTAGAGCAATACCTCAGTAAACACCTGATTATCCTGATGGAGGAACAAGATGTCAAGGTAGGGATAGATAAAACGAGGTATGAATACATCATGAGGCTATAGGAACTGGGATAAAGGATTGAGTACAGTGAGAGATCGGTAGATCTGTTTACTTTTAACACCATGGTCACAAACATCATGACATTCCCTGGTAGACGCATGAACAAAGCTACATGGGTTTTACCTGACCCATCACATATGCGTGAATTGAAAATTCGGATGGTTTATAGAAACCATAAGAACAAAGAGTGAAGCTGATATAACTACAGATTATCACCTGGTCATTGCCAGGCTAAAACTGAAGACAGAGAAAAGCGTTGGACAATTGGACAAGCAACGCTAAAAAATTTTAGGTCATAACAAGCGCTAGACAAAAGAATGGATCACTACAAACAATGGTAAAAAATTTAATAGAAAAAAGCAAACCTGGGTTTTTCTGGAGCTGAAGTATTTATCTGATCTCCTTGACCTTCTATATCTTCTGCTGCATTTGACGAAGACAACACTTGTAACTCTTGACTTGCAGTCAAATTAGGTGTACTAACACTATTTGTATGTAAACACTGTTGTTGAAGTAAAGCTTGACGATATTCAGCAAGCAAACGATGAGCAAGTTCAGTTTCCTGATTCAATTTAAAATGAGGAAATCGATATTAAACATGACATTTGAGGGAAATATAGTATACGAAAGGAAACCAGAAGTACATTAAGAAATGCTATGTTGTATATGTATAACATCCATAGATCAAATATTTTAACAATCTGTATTTCACAGAGCAGGTTTTAATGAATATTTGTAAATTTCTCCAACTTATGGGTTATTTACTAGGTAACCTTTATGAAAAGGACTAACATATTTCAGTTCATAAATATGGGTCCGACCACTCCTAGAATATTGTACGTTGATTCTGAGTAGTGTTGGCACTAAGGTTAAACTTAGGTTGAGATCCGTTAAACGGCGCTTTACAATCCATATTCCTGGATATGGATGCTCACTTATGGGAGCCGAGATAGACTTAATCTAATCTCTTTTTTCAAGATGCTAAATAATCTTTCACGTCTACTGAGGCGATACATTACGAATTGTTTTGCAAACAATTTTTCAGAGTCGAATAATTTGCTACAATCTATCCGTGAAACAAAATTCTAAGCATTGTTTGTGCACTGCATGGAAGATTACATCTCTCATGATACTGCCTCAGAAATGCTTACATCAGTGACAGTAAGTAAACTTATTAATCTTCCTTTCTTGCTGATAGTTTCCTGTCCTTAATTAATTTGATAAGTCTAAGTGAAATCTGTCTCAATCAGTATGTCATGAAACAATGTAGTATATGTATAAAGGCAGACCTCTCCAGTAGTCGATTATTGCAAGTGCCCACTGACGACGATGGAAATGCTCTTTGAAACATTGTACAAAACGGTATTCCAGTCCTTCTACTAAGAAAATAACGGTTCACAGCTGTTGCATCACATTGTGATAATACCTGGTAAAAATCACCTTTCAAAATAATTTACGATCTACGTCCTTTCAAACAGTTTATCCTTATGTTACATATTTTAACGTATCAATCTCATCATACCCACGTACCGGTATCACTTCTGTAATTATTTTCAGAAATCGGTTTATTTATTGATATATTTTACCACTGACTTATTTTATAGGTAAACTTCACAACTAACTTAATCGGCTCATAATGAACTACAGACGTAACATTACCGGTTGTAACAGTTTGTATATCCTAATTATTAGTGTCTAAAATTGAAATAATTTATCTCTGTTGTGATATGGGATTCTTGGGTAGTAACTTGGTGTTATCTGTCTTTAAAAGTTGACTATGTTATGTATACTAGATTACAGAAGAACTAAGATCTTTCGTTTTGTCTTATTTCGTACTTGTTGGCTACGAAAACGTAAAACTAAACTAATAGATTCAGTCCTGGATGTAAACCACAGTAAGATCCAAACACTAACAGTTTATGATAAAAATAGTAAAAATTGAGCAAACAAGTAAATTTCATGACTCGTTGTCTAAGTGGACAACGTTTTGGCATTTAAAATTATGGATTCTAGGTTTGAGCCGTATGTAAATATATGATTAAATTAAAGTGACGAAACTCTAATCTCCTTTTTTACTGAAACTCACTATTTAATATATTATCATGTAGTTAATAGTAATGGATATGAAATAGGACTAATTTATTTACAACAAACTGAATTGATAAATGTTTTCTTCACTTTGATGTACATCAACTGAAGTCGCGTTATAACGGAAAAATATAATAATGGATTCGACATTTGGATGATATTCAAAATAATGATGGACTAGACTGGATACTTAAACGATACATGACTACAGTCTGAATCACGTTATAAACACATAAGTATTAAAAAGAGAAGACATTGCGACACAGTCAGTAAAAAGACCTTATATCTGAAACTTGACTTTAAAGGCGACATAGCGGGTGATATTCTAACACATCGACTCAAAAGATCTGTCGAGAGGACGTTTCATGCCGCCAAGTTACACATAACTTTCTCGACTAAACCAGTACTCACACAACTAATCAAGGATAAGTTACCGAAGATGGGCTCCTCCATGTGTGTATACCAATTCAACTGCTCCTGCGGCGCTAGTTACATAGGCCGTACTCAGAGGGCTTTATCCTTGCATGTTCGTGAACATGTACCAGCATGGTTGGGAAAAGGAGTCACCAAATCAATTAACAGCACCATTCTTTCTCACTTGGTAGATAGTGAACATCATATCAAAATAGAAGAAGCTTTCTCTGTTTTATATCAAGTTCCAAAATATCTACCTCAAGGAGCTAGATTACGACTGCTTTACACACCCGAAGCCATCTGGATCAACTCCAGAAGACCTAATTTATGCATCCAGAAAAACTATATCCAGCCTCTATGTTTACCCTGGCCTACGACTGGGTCACCGAATACCTAGACTGAATATTATAAACCTCTTACCCCTTCCTTTATTTTATTTATTATTATCTATATGTTAATCTTCATGTCCATCATTCCCAATTTGTTGACCGTAATTAACTTGATAACACCCCCCCCCTTATTACATATTATATTCACACAACAATATTATTATTATAAGATGATTAAAATGTTTTTGATATAATATTATTATTATTTCAGTTGACAAAATTATTTTCAATTTTGCAATAGTACTATTATCTTATTGTGACTGAACAATTTACTGACCTTTATTGAATGACCTTTCTAATTTGCAAATATTACAATTTTTTCTTTTTGAAGTATATATATATCGTAACAGATGCAAACGTTCACCATTTTTAACACATAACATTGTCAAACTCATTAAAACATGCCTTATTTTTGGCCTTTGTAAAATATTATAATTATGGACTTATAACTGTAGAGCCTGATGATGAAGTTATTGAAAACAATTGTTCGCTCAAATATTCTTCGTTTTTGAATATTCTATGGGGATTTTTAAACACATAAGTGATTCCCGATCAACAACTGAGAGTCAGGTTTTAGGCCGCATAATGATTTATTTAATACGAATACAAGCAATTAACACACAGAGAAGTCTACAGAGAAATTTATAATTTTGGTTTTTAGTGAGAAGTATTTTCACACCACTGTCGTAAAATGTAGCGAAATTTTCGACAACCCTCTAACCATTATGTATAAATAGTAGTTTTCATGTCAATATTTTCTAGATGGACTTTATATACATTTACAGTTAATATACTTGTTTTATTTTAAGAAAAATACTTTTTGTATCAATTGATAAATTTTTATTACTGTGAAACAATAGTCATTAGTCCCAGTGATTTTAGTTCAAGTTTATTTTTCTCATCGCATGTCTAAAACCTCTTCTTCAAAATCCTCTTTAAAAATTTAAATACAACTACATTATTCTAATCACTAAAAGTATACTTACCTTCAAATTAGTTAGACTCAATAATTGATGAATATCAGAGTTTGTAAGTAGATGCATGGTGCCAGATGATGGACGTGGTATACTGCATTGATCTGACGAGCTAGATGTTGTTAACAAAGTGTTGCTTGATGGTTTATTTTCGAGTTCTTGACTATTTTCCATAGTATCAAGTATACAGTTTTCATCATCAACCACAGATTTACTTTTCAGTTGATTATTAGAAGACCACGTATTAATTACTGAGCTGCATTCTCTATTAACGTTTGTTGAGCTACTTACTGGTCCTTTCACATCCACATTAGTTTGTTTATTGTTATCACATTCATCTTGTTCACGTAATGAGTGAGCTAGTTCTCGAGAACTGCCATGATCGCATGGTTGGTCAGATGCTTCCTTCCATAAGAGATTAGGTCGACTGACTGGTGTAGTTGGTGTTGTGGAAAAGTGTCTCTGGCACATATTATCATTCAAGGTATTTTTTATGATCTGACGCTTTCCATCCATCTCTTCTCTAAATGTAGCTTCAGTAATTGTTGTATGAGATATATCAAGATTAACGCGTGGACCATGATTGAAATTTGAGTGTTGATATCCTGACACGTTATACATTGGTCTATTAGGATGGAATTCGGTAGGTGATGAGCAACAGTTATCTGATACGGAATTAATAAACTTTCTTGGTGGAGTGACAGCCAAACGATTAGCTTCGTTTAACGTAAGAGGACATGGAAATAGCCGCCAAGAGAAAGAGGAAGAAGTACGAAAGTTCCCCTGTTCTTGTTGAGTTGATTGATTTAATGGCCTCGTAAAATTCCTCGATTGTAAGTTGGACAAGAAATTATTTTTCGGTTCAGAAATCAAATTAACTTTATTCACGTTATACTTATTATATATCTCATTATCTTCAGGATGTTTTTTCTCACTGTTATTTGATTCTGGTTTTGAATTAAAATTGGAACATGATGTTAAAAGAACCTTACTATCATGTAAATCGCCTTTAACAACATTTATTTCTTTATTGCCGCTAATCTTAAAAGATGATCTTGTAGGACTGGGTGGAAGTAAATGAATTGTTGGTGTCAATATCTTCGTCTCATTTACAGTTGTATTCTTTGAATCCTTTGTTGAAGATTTCAGTTTTTGTGGATTTGCATCATCTATGCTAGATCGTTCTAAATTCACCAGAACAATAGTCCTAGAGTTATTCAAGCTGGAACTGACTGAACGTGAATAGGATTCACTGGCAGATCGTTCAAGACGTCCAGTCTTCGATGTTGACTGGTTATTTATATTTTGATGTGCTGTGGATGATACAGGAATAGATGTAACATCTAAGCATTGTTCCTTTTCAGATCTAGTGACGTGGCTTTCATAGCACTAAAGGAATACAAGAACAATAGATGGGTTGATTGTTTGTTGAATGAATGTGCAGATTTTTGTCATATGTAATAATCACAGAACTGGTAAGTATGTTGAACATTCGTTTATTTTATGGAATAAAAAATGTGAACTAACCGACTGCTATGAGAAGCACAAAGGTTACATCGGAAATCTTTAGTAATAAATTCGGGTAATTCTGTGAATTTCTAATACTTTTGTCAATGGATTTCTGTAAAATAACATGTTAGTTTAGATTTGACAAGTAGTACGTCGAAGAAAACTGTTGATTTATATTTCCAGTGTTTAATGATGGAAGTCAAATAATTTGTTAACCAAAGATAGGTAAGTTTGGTGTAACAACATGATGTACTAGCATATGGATTCAATCCTATTGAAGATACACGTGCATTACAATTTGAAAAGTTAGTTAAAACTCAACTTTCGTAAATTTCTTTTATTCTTACCCATATATATGCCCATAATCCCTCCAAATAGTTTAAAATTACATATTAAAGTTTCAATAAAACAGGACTAATTGAGATCTCAAAAATGTACCATTATTAGGTGAGAGATACAACACAAAATGGGACAGTTCACATTTAATCTTCTCATTAAGCTTTTCTTTAGGAATTCGCTGTGAAACAGTTGGATTTCACATTATCATGAAAAATAATCAGATTCTGATAATTAACCTACATTTCCGGATGTTTGATAAGGAAGAGGAGCTGAAATATTCATTGCGGTTCCTCGACTAGTAGCATTGCTTGTCCATCCAAATGGAATGCGATGTTTGGCAGATGAAAACCAACGTTGAAACTCCTGAAGCGGATTATTTGATGGACTTAACTGTGTGCTTGATTTATGGATATGTGTTGATAATCCATCAACAGTTTTTTTAGAATTATGACGGTTTTGTATATAACTAGTAGTTACAGCTTGAAAATCAGGCTTCTGAACAATGGCTTCCGGAGCTATCGAAGGTGAGGCTTTGAACCGTCTAGAAATAAATGAGTTCACAAGTTTGGTAATTTGAATTTCGAGAAATAAAACATACTAGGTAACCATTTTATTAATATCAAGATTTGAGTTTATTTTGTATACATTTAAAGACAAAGTTTCGAAAATACTCTCAGCAGAAAGTACACGTAGAACGGCTATTATAAAAGGTAATATGTAAAATATCAATGATCACTTTGTAGGTGTTAATTATAAAAGTAAAAACTTCATTTAGTATTTTCTACTTTATCAACTTCGACGCCCTTAAAGTTCCGATCTACGAAACCGTTTTAATTAGTTTCCTGATATAAAGTCCTCAAACCTAAGTTATATCTTTTATCATCTGCATATTTGAAGTCAGTTTGTGATAAAAAAGACTGATTTCAGCTGGATAATCATCGGAACACCAGAGGACATAAAGAGATAGTTTTCACCAAGTCCAAGACTTCATAACAGTATACACCGATGACCTTGATAAGAATTAATACCTAGGAACTTAAGTTATGACGATGAGTGGATTAATTTTAAACCAATGATAAATTCGGTTGGCTGACGGAGACCATAGGATATCGTAATGCCAAAATACTTAGAAACTTTATACATCTACTTGATTTTCATATATTAATTGTTATCAGCTGAATTGTTTTGGCACTAGGTGTAAACGAGTTATACCTTCGATAGCTAATGAGAAGGGAATCAATGGATGACTAATTATTTTATAACAGTTCCTTAGCTTACTACCATGGATATAAACCTGAGTACAAGTACTAATGGAACATTTGAACAGCATAGTGAAAAACCTCCAGTATATGTTTCGAAAGTGAAAATACAAGTTCAAACAAAATAAGAATTAGGTAAACAGAATTAGAAGTCACTTTTCTTACTTCAGAATTTCTGATTGACTTAAAGGTTTAAAACATATCCTCTTTTTAAATGAATTGTTAATAAAATTCACTCTTTCAAAATTTCTAGAAATATTTAAATTGTATTTTTGCTAGAATAAATGTTGAAGAAGGATTGGTGACTTGAGTGTAAAATTTATCCAGCTACCAATAATCGTGTATAAACTAGATAATAATGTTTTGTTTCACATAATATTCATACACAGTTGTTATAAGGAGAGAAAATGGGGAGGTCATAAGGAATAGTCAGTTGTTTTAGACATATACATACCGTCTGAATTTAGTGGTGATGTGATTTGATGAATGAGATTCTGAGAAAAGGTAATTAAAATTCAAAGATGTCAGTCAGGATATCAAACAACTGATGTCGTTAATTTATATTTGTTATATCCGGACGAGAATAGATGAGTGTTAACCGTTAGAAATTACGTATGGACTAATATTACAGGCATATTCTTAATGTATAACTATAAAGTAATTATATGTATGTTCATATTCCCTTCATTATAAGCTTTTATTTAACCTATTGACTACTACCATATAGTTTACTATTCTTGAGATATTCCCATTTTATTAGTAACAGTTTCTCACAATCACAGCTCGTACATCTTGTACAAATGTTACACTGTATTTGTTGGTGTGACGTTGTCTGATTTTGTTTGTATATAAACCAAGTATGTTTGAAATATGCAATTCATATCGCGGAGGCTGAAATTGGCGTTCTGGAGTTAACAGGCAGGACTAAGCAGAAAAATGACCAATAGGGGCTCTGGGCTGCTAGTTATGGTGTATACATCATTAGTTGGTCGTATAAGTCAGTGTATTCCGCGATAATCGTATGGTTAAGGACATAAAAATATTGATTAATTTTTTATCTTGGTTTGGAATCAATGCATCTTCATCTAGTCTTTTTTGTCATACATTATTATTTGTTGACATTCCCATTAGAGTTGATCAATGTGACCATTAGAACTACGCCGCTAAAGTTCTGTTTGCTGTAATGATTAAGTTGAGAAATCAGTTTTTGAAGATTTTGATTAAATATTGGCAATAAGTGTTATCTAAAACATTTTCCGAGGATAAATTTCACTATCAAGTACTAACTGGCTTTTATGAGAACAACTTAATTTCAGGAGTTTAGTAGAAGTAGGAGTAAATAAAATGTTTTGTTAAAGGATCGATAGCTCGATTAAATAAAGGTTTACTTTAGTCATATTAAACTTAAACGGTTATTACGATTAAATTACATATATTTTAGAAATTACTTCATTTGAGACTGAGGTCTGTAATGTCGTTGGCTTAACCCACTCAGTAATGGCAGAATTCCACCACTATTTGAATGAATTAACTCATGCCATAATTTTCGACCGCTTGGGAATGTAGGACCTGAACCTGAACTTAACCCACGTGTATTTGACTTTGATGGACTTTTAAAAGTAACGTTGTTAGCAGAAGTACATAGAGAGGCTGCGAAACCAAATGACGTTTTTCTGGCTTCGTTTGCTTCGAAATCAGCTTGCGTGATAGAATTGCTCGAACTACTTGAAGTTGATGAACTGCATGATTGATGTTGTGCAGCATGAACAAGATCAATTTTCTTAATACTGGCTGTACAACTTGAAGAGGAAGAGGAGAATGATGCTCTTGGGGAAACCAACACATGTTCCGAAGAGCTATCAGAGGAGGCTAGAGATGAAGGAGATGATTGTTCAGGACACACCTCTTTTTTACTTAATACAACGTCCACTGTTGATAAGTGAAGTGGGCTAAGAGGTTCACAGCAGTTTGTATTTTCATGTCTGTTCGTCATCTCACTTGTAATAGCTATGTTTGGTTTGATTTGTTCTTGGTGATGACGTTTTGTTTGACGACGTTTATGTGAACGATGACTCTTAGTAATTTTATGTTCTTCAGTTATTTCACTTGTGTTATGTTGTTTATTTTGGACAAAAGAAGAATCTTCATGATTAATCTGCATTTCTTTATTGGTAAGAGGTGCCAAAGAACTACATGTTTTAGAAGACTGTTGATCACTGAAAGTGATTTTCGATTCTTTTGACACCGCAGAAGTTGTGTTTGCTACTCCACTTTTGGAAAGGAACCATCCAGTTGGCTTTAGACACTCACGTCCAGGAAGACATGTCACACAGCCTTTGTTTAAGAGTTGGGAATCCAAAGTTCCAGCACCGCTTTTAAGACTCCAGTGACCAACAAGAGTTCCAGACTCACTATCTGCATTTTGTTCTTTAAAATCTGCGTTTGTAGTCGTCACTTTACTAACAAAAGTATTCTGAATGAAGTTTGAATTACATGAAACCATGCAGGTAGCTTCACTAGGCCTTCTTGGAGAAGGATTAATCCTGAAAGTCTTGTTATCACTAGTCAGGGCTGTAGTATTCGACTCAATTTTAAACGGATCTATTAATTTGCAAGGATTAATTAATCCACCTGAGTGTTGTGGATCCGCATTATTTTGTTGTATTCTTTGCGATTCATCATTGACTGGTTCGACATCGTACTTAGTGTATTGCTGACCTAGGAATTAATGAATATGCTGAAATAGTTTTAGAAAATTTTGACAAAACAATTAATTAAGCTTACATGTGAAAAGATTAACAAATAAAATCCTTGATTGAATCTTCCATAAATAACTTATCATATCATGTTTTAAACGGCGCCTGATAAGATAACAAGATGTCAAGCAAAACGAAACCAACATTTAAATGAGGTTTAAGAAATATTTGTAGCCTTTAAAATGTACTAAACTAGGGGAACTCATTTGAAGCCGATAGAAGTTTCTGGATGCAGAACGCAAGGTGATAGCCAATAAACCTACCAAAAAATATAACATAAACAACTATCGAATATTTTTAACTTATTAACCAGCAGTTTATCTAGCCGAATGGATTGTTTTAATTCTCAAAAAGTTGTTTCATTTGAGTAGTTAGTTGATAACCGAATTAGTGATATTTTATACCTTGAAAGATTCCTTATAAAATCACCTGGGATCGGCAATTAATAACACGATTAAGTCTCTGTAATTTCTCATTGTATAGTTTATTATAACAACACAAAACAGACACGTTGTTTTGCGTCATTGAAAGAGATAAAAAAAAGTGAAATCAACTGCTTTTGGGAAATCTGAAAAAACTTATTAATCAGAAGCTCACTACTAAGTTCAAGAGAAAAATAAATAACAACGTTAAGAAGAACTTCCTTGGTTGAATACTTAGATATTGGACATTCAAAGTGCAGCATCAAAAAATAATACCAGGATGGTCGTTTCATGAATGTTGGACTATAAGTATAAGGTATACGTTAATGATAAAACTTCAGAGCTTTTACTTGAAATGTTTGATATTAAGTTTCATTGGACGTTGCCGAAAGAAGTTTAAAATACATCTTTTTGGTCCGAACTGGGAATATCAGTTTTTTGATGAACATGCTATAATTGAACCAGCTGGTCATATTAATTCATAATTTACAGCATTAGTTAATTTGTCACTATCATGCGCCTGCTTGGAGTAAACCGAAAATTATCAAAGTAGATTACAACTGTCTATCTCATTTCTACAAGTTGAGTCTGTTAGAGAAGTCACTACACAGCACTCAGGAGCTATTTAGACAACAAATGATTCCTAACTATGCTTTTAACTAACTGACAACACAAGTTAATTAAAGTTAGGAGATTCTGGCCGTTGCACTTCGAAAAAAAAAACAATTTAAATTTAATGTCGCACTACAAAAATTAGTAATCAACAGATATTTGCAAGTTGCAAAAATCAAACTGAAAAACGTTTCTTTTGGATTATGGTTTTGAGCGTTTTTAGCTTGGTGAGTATTCAAACTATATAATAGAGTATAAGTTTAATAACTTAAGACAGCAAATGGATTAACACTGTTTTAACTCAATTTATCAACAAAATAGTTAATTAATAATAGTAATTATCAAAACTTTTTATTACTTGGTTGTTCAGAGGTCGATAACTCTGCAGCAAAATCATTTAATACCTAAGGATGTAAAATAGGATAATATTCATCAGTCAAACGTTTTTACCCTGATCATTTAACAAAACATGGCAAAATAAATTATAAATTGATATAAGTAGACTATACATATATTACCAATCTATTTTTCATTTCAATAATTAAATAATTTTCATCAAAAACATATAAAAGCTTAGATTTCAGAGAAGATACTTCATTTTTATGGGAATTACTGCCAAGCTGTACATTACTTATCAAATATGAACTATCTGTAATGTAAAAGGTGATAATGAAGTTAGTTTTTCTGGAAAAAAAACTAGCTAAAAGACGGCTATTTTAATCGACAAAAGCATGAAAGACGGTCAAAATAGGGTTTTATTTCATATATATATATATATATATATATATATATATATATATATATATACTTTTATTTAGTTTTATGTAAAGGAAACAGCTTCTCCATTATCGCCTTCTATATCACAGATGGCTGATATCTGATAGCAGTAAGTTAATAAAATCCTTTTTTATTAATACACAGTTATAGAAGTCTGTTAGCTGGTCATTTTATGTTTACTTCTCGCAAACGAATGTTTTTTTAGGGAACCGTCACCTCATACCTTACAAAAATCTCTTTGAAAATGAGATAGATTAGTTAAATCCCCTTTCAGCCATGAATTCCAAGATTAGATGATAAATGAATGTGGAACGTCAAGTTGATCAAAGTTCTCGTCCCAAATGACAAATGTATGATTTTTAGATCTTCGCGAAAAGACAAAGCTTTTTTAACTGAATTAAGTTTGTTGTGTTAAAAAAAGTAAACAGAAGTGGGCCAAATGGCAATCATATCTCAATCTTATATTTTTATCCATTAACTTAGTTGATGAAACTAAAGTGAACGTTCATGGTCTCCTTTTTTCTTTAAGAACTACTCCATCAATGAATGCAATAGTACGTTCTGAACACACCTAGTTATTCTTATTTATAAGGGGTTCATCAAAAAAGAGAATCATATTACGATGGATGACATTTAAGCATATTTCTAACTCTACTTAACGTTCATCATTTAAAGATTTGCAATTTAATTTTACACTTACCGGTGAACCAGAATAAGTACAGCGTAGTTCTGTACCTCTTAGTATATCTCTAGAAAAAAATAATAAAGGAAGAATCACTCAGTTGATGAATTCAGTTTCAAATAAAATTCAGACAAATGAAGGATAGATATCTAATGATGACCAGTCCTTAAATCAAAGCTTTTAGTTGTTATGAATTATAATTTCAACCTAATGAGGTTTAGCAGATTAACCACAATCGAGTTCAATGTTAAGACTACTATACGGCTAAAGGATTTCCTTAAGTATTGGATTTAAAATTATCAGAGATGTATTCTTTCGTCTAACCTATATCTCATAGACAAAACACATTTTGGATGTGAATGAAAAAACAGACAAATGAAAACACTGATACCATTTGATAGTGAAACATCAAACTTAGGAAATATGGCTTACAATAAATTAATGCGATTGAGGAACGATAGCGATTTCTACGGAATTGCGTTCGAAATTCAAAGGCAGGTGGCTAATTATTCCATCTAGAGCACTGGATCTATTTTTGAGCTATAGAAGTGAATTTTCTTACTTCTATCTGATAAAATATGCAACAAAGTTTCTTCTCTTTATTCTAGCTTACTGGTTGTCTCTGCTACATATCAAAAAGTCAGTATATAAGAGGATAAAATAGTTCTCGACAAGAGAGCTTTATATTTTTAGAAGTCAAAAATGTGAAACAAACTATTCTGTTTATATTTGTTATAACTATAACATTGAGAACACATGGCAAAACAGAAAACTAAAAGAGAAAGTAACTATTTAGATAATGACAAAGGTCAGAGTAGTAATATGAACTAAGTTACTGAAAACACACACAATAGCTAAAACTACAATTTACTAGAACAAACAGAAAAATCTGGATAATCTGAGGTATTTATAGTAGTCAGCTAACACTTCAAGTCATGATATTTGGTTATTAATTCTAACTATCAATCACATCTCAGTAAGCGGTAACTGCTAGACGATACTATCTCAAATTTTTTACTTATTACCAATTCTTTTTTTAAAAAAATAAACTAGTTCAAACAATTAAATGATGTTATACTGGATAGAAACACTTACTGACTGAAGCATACTATAAAATTAATTATATATATATATACATATATATATATATATATATATAGATAGATAGATAGATAGATAGATAGATAAATGGAAGTAACAACTTACGGAGGTTCCGAGATATGAACTGCCGGTTGTGGTGGGACCGATCTAAAATAAAAGTCAATTACTTAGATTCCTGTACGCAAGATTATGAACAAATTTTAGATGATTAGAATAAAAAGTTATTGTTGAAGTTGAATTAATGTTTTTTTTTAGCAGTTCTATGAATCTATTGTTTGTTCAAAGTCCAGAAGAACTGGAAATTTGAACCACTATAGGCTGGGTTAATAATTTCACACTTGGCTCCAGATGTGAATGTTCTATGTCCAATCCAGGCAGTCATTGAGGTCACTCACGGATGAAGAGTTCCAAGCTTCAGAGAAGCTATTTTATTTTCACTGGTTCTCCGTCTGAGAGCAGCTCGTGATAAAAAAATCATATTCGAAGGAAAGTTAATCTTGGACCTAAGGTTGTAAATATCGTTTTCAAGAAACGAAATTGATTAGGCTACCGTATGACAAAACGTTTTCAATATATCACTATATATTACGTAAGAAATCCAGGTTAACTGTCGTCACTGATGGATATACTTGGTGAAGAAAAAATGTGCAGATATATACAAACTATACTAGAACATTCGAAAAACGTCGTATTTTTATTTTTACGATAATACAACACTATTTATCGTCAGTATTTTATATATTCGGCCAACGTTTGTTTAATTCATCTGTTACTTTCTCAAACTGTCATTAAACTGTCGTTTGGTATTCGGTATTTCAACAGTTTAGTGCTGTTTTGATGTGCCGTTTTTTTAAATTAATTAATAATTGATATCATTACGTTAATTTTGATCTGATCTCTTCAAGTCACTAAAATTTGTTAAAACGAGTCATATTGCACAACCAAGAAAAATAACAGGCAACTGGACTTCAGTTGATCAATATCTTTCCACTCCAAACACAATCTACAAGATGATTTTATTAAAAGTCTAGAGAGAAGCTGTTAATCTTTGAGTTAATCAAGTCAGGTTCAAAGTGGATTCACGCTTGTAAAATCGCTAAGAGGTTGGACTATGCCGTGTATTGGATGACGTTGACAATGTAGTTCTGATTTTTTATCATACATGTAGCAAAATAGGGATACTCTGAGCTGGATCTTTTGTGAAGTCGTACGAATATACAACTCACTCCCCAGAAAGAGCTAAACATATTGATTTTTCAGCTGACAATAGTTCGGAATAAAAGTTGTTTTCAAATATATTTGTAATAACACTACAGTATGATTTTGTTCTTAAAACCATACGTGTTTTAGAAATTTAAATGATTACATTCAAACTCAAAAGAATCGTTATCATCCTATTCTATGGCGCAGGTGCATCCACTCTCTGCGTTCTCCCAAATTCTAATCTTCTGAATTCTTCATGTCCCTTTTTTCCTCTTTCCAAATTTCTTTCACTGGATTATACTCTTTAAATAACATCTCCAAACCCTAATCTTCCCGACTACTGCTTATACTCTTATTACCTCTACCACTACGGGATTTGAATCGACAACTGTATCTCTGTGCTAATGTGGTGTGGCAACTCGAACTGATGTACGTACGTACGAAGTTCTACGTTGTTACTGACTATTCTATCTTTTCATAATGAAACATTTCTCATATATAAATAAACTAATAAACATACTTTACATGTGTCCAATAATCAATATAACTACTGTGCATCTGAATACAAAACTGCCATAGATAACGCGCGCTTTCATAATCCTCCTATGGTACATTATAGAAAGTAAAAAAGTATTATATTTTCCTTATGGATATAAATATTAACTGAGAATAGAAAAAGATATTTTAACTTCCAAAATTTACAAAATTTGTGACTGAGTTTTTAATGAAACATGATATTTTTTATACACTGTGCTACTGCATAGTGGTGTTCATTTAGTAAGTTATGTATTAGTATTTCGAAAGCTCATCACTAACAAAAAATTAAGCATTGCAAATATTTCTGAAAAAAATATCGAGATAAAAATGTACACACAGCAATAAGAAGCGAGGAATTTACATGAAGAAGGAATATCTACATTTAATTTTAACAAATGCTGTTGTTTGATAAGAAAATCACAACTTAAAGTTTATGCCCATTTACATCGATCATTAGCTCCCCACCTACATTTTAATGAAAACTGTTCATCGAATTTACATCGTTCAATGTCGCTAGTAGTTTCTTGTATACATAGTGTTGTGTGAACTATATGAAGCTTCTGGGATAGTTCTTGGTTTGAATTACTGCGATTTAAAACACTGAGGAAACTTTATTATTGATTGATTGATAACTAGTTTGAATAAGGCTAAAACAACAATTGAGGCAGAATAATATGAATTCATTATTATCTTTCGTGGATTCTCACCAGATGCTTACAACCATTTGTGTATTGAAAGGTAACATTGAGATGTGATATAATATTACACCATTGATATTGATGACGAAAAGAATTAGGATGACATAGGTTATCAATAATAACTATATAAATATTCGTGAGGAAGACCCTAAATCTAACTCCTAACCTTAACCATCAGCTGTAAATCATAATCTTTAGCCTTCACACAGGTTTATAACCCTAATTTTGCTCCAGTTGGTTGGTGGAAACTCAAGGTCAGTCTAGCGTCCATACATTATAGTCTCACCCAATAGGTAATTCTTACAGCTTTGCAATTCTACAAGGTTTGGATAACGCGAAAGATTAATTCAGTTAGTGATTGCTTATAGGGTGGTCAGGTATAATTTGTTTCGTCCCATGTAAATTCATTAATTAACAGACAATATTAGGGTTTCTGCTTCGATCTCACTCACCAACACTTCTATCGTGGTTTGTGATTCATTCATATTCTCATCAGCTTATATAAACCTTGTTTCAACTTCAAACTTGTACAACATTCATGAAAGCTTCATTTGATAAGATTTGAACTAACGTTTTGGTAGTTTTCATGGACTGTCACTTACTAACAAGTATCAAAGTATTATCTTACTATCAATTAAAGTAAGCCATCTATACTACACGCTGTTAATGTAATGGAAATCACTGAAAATGTTACTAGCACTTCGATGAATAATCATGATCAGATATTTTTTAATTGTGTTTCATAGACCAAAACGCCACTTCAGTTAGAAATGTTTCCTTTGGTCAAACTCATTTAGTTAGTTACGCATCTTCATTATATACTGTAAATGATCAAACCATAATTGCGAGAATAGTGTTCAGTACATCTTGGAAGATCTTTTGGTTTTTAGTACTTATTATTTCCAGTAAGAACCGATAACCATAAAACACTGGACAGGTGCTTTAACCTGTTTTAGGAACCCCTGTCAATGTGCCGCCACGGATACACAAGACACCGAACCTAGAAACTTCGAGTCTTATCCTGGGTAGGTTACCGTTGGATCAATGAGTTGATCTCCCATGGTTTAAGCTTTCAATTTTACTCGACTCGTCATACCGTTAAACATTGACATTAATAAGTTAGTCTTCCCCCAACTATTAACTTCTGTGGGGTCATGGATAGGTACTACTGGAGAGTATCAAACTAGGACGAAATAGTTACACGGTACCCTTAGGTTTCCAGTGGTCCTAAAGTTTATGTCAAACCGTAAAAAAAATATCTTCAAACTATAAAATCCTCTCCACAAAACACTTCCATAGTATCGTCATATTATACTATCAAATTATTATATCATTGCTCGTAGTGCTTATTCTCTCGCTCTAGGTAACATCTTTACAAATGATACTACTAGTTTTATTAGTGTTAACTATAAAAGCTTTTAAAGGAACTTTTAATATACTTATGTCTTGTCAAGTTACAATCATACATTACTTGATAAATACAAACATAACTTGAACGTTAGTAGTTATATTTCATTTTCTTATGTATACATGATAAAGAAGCAAAAATTATGTAAAATCGCTGATGAACTTACAAATATGAAATGAACGGACTTTCCCCTTTTTAACAGTTGAATAGTAAATGTCTTACGAGTATACGTAAGGTCTTTAATATGTTCCCATCTGTAAAGTTAAATTAGTACAATCTCCTTGTTTAGTTATTAAATAGTATTTTTATTATCCGAACATCAGTAAATAATTATAATCGTTGAAAACTTCCCATCACATTAAAACACAGATATGTAAACGAAGAAGTCTTTTGAATAATTTTTCATTAGGTCTTACAATTATATATTCGAACTAATATCCTAAATAATTAACCAGGTTTAAGGCAAAGTACATCATTTAAAATTATAGCATATAAATGATGTACTTTGCCTTAAACCTGGTTAATTTTTGGGGTTATTGGTTTGGGTATATAACTGTAAAACCTGAAGAGAAATCATTGGAAAGAATATTCTTCGTTTATATATCTGTTTTAAATAATTATAATACAAATCAATAAAATAGTCTGCTTGAATAACCAATTAACTGATTAAAACATTTTATTCTAACATTAAGTGCCAAGTGTTACATTTTAAAACAACACGAGAAAATAATTATAAAACAAAACAAATTCTTATACTTAAATAAGGAACAAGAAAATCTTCTTTTCGACGAAATCATTTACTTAAGCTGTACATTCATATATATAGTTATATGGAAAATGTATATATATATAACTATGTATACGAATGTACAGCTTAAGTAGATGATTTCGTCGAAAAGAAAATTTTCTTCGCTGAATTCTCTTTTTCTTATTCCGTGACACTGTGGGTTATTTTAATTAACAAGAAAATCGATTACAGGAATAGTATTTTCGGGTACTTTTATCATACACTAAGACAGATCGACAGTCGGAAATTTTATGGCGTCATAACTTGAGGGTTTCTCTATGCCCTACGTTTATTGTTAGCAGTCTAGATTATGTTCATTGACAACAAATGCTTAACGCATATGTCGTCTCAGATTATCTACCTATCTAGTAATCTTGGAAGATCCTATCTTGTTTCCAACATAGCTATTATAAACCATATTTGATAAGTCTCAGTTGAAAATAGGCGTTACTTGACCAGGTGAGAAAATATTAGTTAGGTAAGAGTGGGTATTCAAATTTCTCCGGTACACAGTAGGGAAGTTAAGCGACATTACGTCGATAATAAAGTTTAAAAAGGAATATGATAACATGTGAGGCAAATAAATTTCATCCAGTACAGTGCTAATGAGTTGGTGGAAGATAAAGAGTCTGTACGTTTGTATTGTGAAATATTTTAAATAATGGCACAGTGTATCCTGAGTCACTGATTTCCAAATGTCCGAGGATTTAAGGGGTATTAGCTTCTGTAGATGGCTCAAAAAGATAATCAGTGATACGACAGTTCAATCTAATACCTATATATGAGTACCTAATTTGACACAAGCCATAATCTCGATCTTAAAAAGAGAGAGGTTCACGATAAGTTTAATAGACCTATTTATCTTACTTTTAAAGTCAACAGACAGTCAACTAAATTTGCTAATTTCTGTATTTCTACCTGCAGTCACAACCCCGCTCATCAGGTGACTAAATTATGCATGACCAGTCTTTTAAAAATACATTCCTATGCACTGTACCCTTATAAACTGAGTTTTAGTTGTATTATTGGCCCAAAACTATTTTGTTTAGCGATCTTACTCTTTTTTAGCTATTTACTTGCATAGATAATCTACAGCTGGAAAGATTGAAGGATCCATACAAAGTATCATAAAGCTAAAGCTATACAAGAAATTAATCAATTTGCTTTCTAGTTCTAAATTATGCTTTAAAAAAGATCGGCTCAAAGGAATCAACATCTTACATTTAACAGCCATTAAACACCCGCTAAACAATCATGAACATGACTACGAAACATACATGTTCTGTACATATCTGAACTGAGGATCATAGTGTTCATTTCAAAGGAAATAGTGATTTTTGTGAAGTAGATTTTAAATAAGAATTGATTTTAGCAATATTTTCGTCTCATCATGAGATACATCACATCCATTCATCGGTTTCGTTAAGGTTAGACTTCTGACATACTTAGTGGACATAGAATTTCAATTAATTCTTGCCTATTTTCTAGGTCTTTCTGTATAAGTGAAAACCCCATAAATTGTGCCATCCTACTTAATACAATTTATTTATGATGAAGACCAGAAACAATTAGAGATTATCCTACACTTTAATCAATACATACGCTTATATTCAGCATAAACAGTATTCATGTCATTGCGATACACAACCACATATACCGGTCTAAGAATTGTGTTCGTGCACACACGTACACATAGACACGCTCACTAGTGTTTCATTCAATAGAAATAGGTGTGTACACATCTAAACGGTATAGCTTTTGCATGCACAGTGTAGGAATGAATATTTTGACCCGTGTTTTATTGATTTTCAGTAAGTAGGAAAAATTTGAAAGCTGTTGTTACGTACAGTATGGTAGAAATTTGTAATTTTCTATATTTGTTTTACAAATGACAGATTTTCGAAATTGTAACATTGAAAGTAGATATTATTAGAGTTGCAACTTTTATTGAGATCATGAACCGATTATTAATAAACCACCACAATCCTTTACTAATACAAAGTTACAATTTGTCGAATACTACAACTTATCTAGTTATTTGGGAATAAAATTTTTAATGTGACAATAGACTTCAAAGGGAATCTGTACTGCAAACTATTGTACATCGAAGAACCATTTAGTTTCTCATTGTTTGCCAGCTGACGTCAGTTCGTGAAGAAAACTACCTTCAAATCACATAAAATTTTTATAAAACCATCTAAAATGCAGGAACAAATTAACATTTGCGTTAGTTTCAAAACTTAAAAATAGTTTCGTGTATTTTAGAAGATCCTTAAGTATTTGACAGGAAATAGTGAGTGGAGTAACAATTGAAGCCGAATAATATAGATCCTGAATCCACTTCAGTTATCTACAACCAATTCACGGAAATTATGTAGGCCATTTCAAATTATTTCTCAGTCAAATTTTGTCTTGAAATGAGATTTTAAATATAAATACGTAAACAGCGCTGACAATTTTTTCCATCTCCATTATTCAGTCACCATCTTTGATAATGTAAAACCATCGTTAAGTAGAAAAAAGGTCGAAAGTTATTGAAGAGAAGTGATGTACATTGGATTGATGTTATTCCCCTTCGGTCCCCATTCTTGCTTTCTTCAAGTTCATGGAGGGAAACAACTATATGAGATGTTAGTGATTAGATGGAAAGATTATGTACCTCAAATAAACAAAAATAGTTGGTGTAGCACTGCTTTTCTGAGAAATAAGTGAAGTATTAAAAGATGCAACGAACTTAACTGCAGTACACTTGCACCTCAGTGTCCATATTCTGATTACTAAACATATTTAAAACATCATTATAAATTTGGTTCGCTATGATGAGATTTAGTATCCAAAGTAGATAACTTATGAGCCTATAAACACTAGAATATATTGCAAATCCTTCGGTTTTATTGTGTATCTCGATAGTACAAAGTTTTAAATTTTCATCATTCTCCAAAAGATGTATGTTAAAAGTTGAAAAAACTTATTATATAGTTGCGCGTGAATGGTATACGGCCTATGTTAGCAAATTTCAAATGGTGTTTATTCGAAATATGATCCCATCATATTAGCAGACCTTATAATTCATTACTATTCACCTTAAGTACGGTCAAGATCCTAGTGACAAGTAGTGGTTTTTGAAGATAATCAATATTGTTAGTAATGAGTAATATACATAGTTGGAATCGACAGTATTGTCATTTATCTGAAGTTAAAAATAACATTTATTTAGTTCAAACATGATACTTAACTCGCTATCGTATCTTTGCGTTATTTACTCAGCAACTAACATGTAAACCATAAAGACACTTAATTTCAATACCTATATGCACAATACTGAATATTAAAAGCGCTATGAATGTTTGAATGTCTATGGAAAACAACTGGAAGTTCTATTTCACATCTTCACCATACCATAACACTATAACACAAAATTTTTTTCAAAGTTGTACGCATGCATTTGATGTCGGTAGTTTCCCTTAAACTTTCTTTTAGTATTCATGCAACACTGATTTTTGATGCATAACTTACTTTAAGTTAGCGATTGTTTGTCTTTGAGGCTCAAACGTAGTAATATTAATACCATTACGTGAAACACCAAGTTCCGCAACTTCATTACTACATGTCTTGAAATTAATAAATGTATACAATACAAATGTAAACACACGGAAACCATTGATTAAAATGGGAGCCGAACTTCCTAACACCATACTTCATCATTCTTTAAAGTCCTATAACTTTAAGGTCGAGGATAACCATCTTTTTTAGTGTTCGGTGAGACTGTGATATCCTATTTCCGCTTTACTTTGTTTTGAATTTCAATCGCATCAAACCGAAGTTAATTATTAATAACAAGCAAAGTGAATGAACGCTATCAAAGTGTGGTTACTCTTATAACGTGAAATAACTAAATAAATAGAATAATTTTGTTTTGGAGTGGTTTTATCTGTTGAATTTTCTCCCACATTTCTAAACAGTGATCGATTATTGTTATATCAAGCTGAATAAGCAGTTACTGGGAGAAAATAAATGTTTATAGGCTTCATACACTATTGCAGTCGTGTTAATTTCCTTTTACTTTTATTAAATTAACACAGTGGTTTATTTAACCTTCAAGGCATAGATGTCTATCATCGTAGCTCGTGGGGTTTACTTGATTAATAATTCTACTTTGCCCCATTTACGGCTGAATGTAACCATGTAACTCTTTAATATTCATGCCACGATTTCACGTTACAACTTATTATATGTGATGATTTAACTGTATTGTGTCACATGTTAGAATCTGTGAATGAAGCTTGAAACAAGCCAATCGATTGGTTTTTTATCTTAAATTTACTAAACATTATCTACAAAACGAACGTAAGAAATCTAATTGCATACAGTCAAACAGTAGGTAAAGTCGTAATTTGTTAGTAAACTGGTATACAAAATATTGATCTGTAACCACATCCAACTACTGCATACATAAAACGTCTGTCACTTTCAGTGTAACTGGTTTAACTGGTACTTGAAATAATCATTTTCACCCTTTGAACAACTGAATTTGTGAGCATTCACTTAGATATGCACCTAACGTTCCTTAATGATTCATTATGGTGTTTTATCATTATTTTACTGAAGCCTAATCAAAGTAATATTTAATGATTTAAAAATTATCAAAAAAGCAAATCTAATCAGATTAAAGCCGCACTGTCATGATGGCTAAAAAGCGCAGTGTCTTAATACATACATTCAAATTATGTTCTTAATGTTTGATCTCTCACTATCATTTATCCTACAATTATTCGGAATCCATTAGTATTAATCTCATCGTATCCATTTTGTTCTTCTGATTCAGTACGGCGACTTGGGCTAACGCATATTTGTCTGTAAGATAGCATGAATACGTAGGGAAACTTAGTAAATGAAGTTAGCTTTAATTTAGATTAAATGGGTTTTATTTATCTATGTATCCGTCTGAGTTTGAGAAATATGCATAGACGTTTTTTGAAGGTGTGCACATTATGGTAGTAAATTAAATGATAAGCTGTAATGTTTTTCAAAAGCAAAATTTAGTTATGACACTTAAAGGTCCTTTTCAACAAAATTTACACCTAAATATTTTCTTCCATTAAATCAACTGCTCCCTTATAAATCAAATATATTTCCTGCCTATAAATTCATTTATTATTATTTTTTCATTAGCACTACTCCTATCCGCTGTAGATGTAACACTGTCCTAGGTATGTGGAATGTATAAATGTCTTAATATTCACATAACACGACATACTTTTGTGTATTCAAAATTGGTTACTTAACAAAGATGTACTTCCAATATCCATTTTATTTCTTCGAACTCTTTACTGGGAAATACATTATATTGTAAACATCCTTAAAATGACTTGAAAATTGTGCTTTATCAATATATAATCCAAATTTTTATCATTACTAATGTGAACAAGTGGTAATAAGCAGGTTTAAACTTACCATACCACTAAACGTTCGAACACCATAGAGAGGATTATGTCTGATTTCATCTAGAAAATACCATATTGCATTGTCTTGAGAAACTCCTTGTAGATGAGAATAACCCCAAACTATGTCGTCAACATATTCCGTTGTTGACAAATCAAAGGCACCAACAACAGAAGTCTACAATAGGAGACGGTAAGTTAAGTTTACATAACATAAGACAAATGAGTAAGGGAAATATTCATCCTTTTCATTAGTTTATCGAAATACTGATTTAGAGCTTTTACATGCAATTATATTTATTATTTTTGTCATTCTTGATTGACTCCAGCATTTTCGGATATACAATCTGTAAGATCACCAAATGTTAATTTATAGAAGAATAATCGTTTTGCCCATTTACCTCGATAACTTCATTCATTTCGTAATCTAATTTCATATCTGGGTTTAATTATTGGGGACCCATCACTTTCCAGAATGAATGGAAATTGACTGATTTAGCTTGCAATAGTTTAATAGTGACGGATATGTATGTTATGGACATAATTGCGTATTTATTTTGGAACACGATATCTAACTGCGCACGTGACTGTTAAATAGTTCAATTATGTTGGTTAACTTTTGCTAAGTTGTATGATCAATTCAGATGCCGTGTTCGTTAATCTTTGTGGGATCCTTTTGTCTAGCTGTCCGTCTATCTATCTATCTATCTGCTGATTGTATTCCATTTTAATATGCTGATATAAAAATACTTGAGACACACTGACTAGTTGAGACTCTAGACAGTGTGTGTTCATTTCAATACAATGCAGGTTAGACCAGCTTAATGCAGTCCTGTATTTATTTGACTACAGTAAAATTGCTGGATATTCTATTGCCAGTGCTATTTCTATTGTAACACAATCCAATGCAGTTACAAGAGGTCTAAATATGATGTTACTCCCATACTACTTTTAGTTCAGTCAAGTTGTGTCCATTAAATCTAATTATACTTTAATCATTTATTACTAATGTATATGCTAGTGAATCCAATTACTGGAATACATATTTAAGAACGTTTGTATTGTAGTTTTTACTTCATTCGTTTGCCTCAAATCATCGGTTATAAAGATAATGGAAATAACAATGTTACATTCAGTAACAGGAGTGTCAGTCACCTGGACGTTTATAAAAATAGTATTATTTTATAGCTATTGCTACTCCAACAATCTAAACGATTTGATTATTGAATTTCATGGCGTTAAGAGATGAGCAGATAAATGTTTACATAATTATCAGTAATATATGTGCCTTAATTATAAAAAACTGATCTAAATTGGTGGATTGCTTTGCTCACTAAAAAAGTTAACACCTTTGGTAACAATCAGGAAATATTCTTTAGTTTGCTAAATCAATTAATTAAAATGGATAGGGTTGCACTTAAAAAATAACCATCAGGACTTCGAATAAGTGATTTAAATTATTATAGGCGTCTTGCCTAATTATTTTATTGTTAAAGGAACGGGTGGCTTTAGAAGGAGCGCCTTTGAAGATTAGGTACAGCTAAACAGCTTTTTTGTGCTAATTTTAATCACGTCGAAAGTGAAACGAGTATCATCAATGAAAATGGATGGTGATTAAATTTACCATACGTTGGCTGAAGTCGGGTTCTTAGGTTTCTAACTCAATGGTCTTAAAATATCTTGCTAGTTTTAGAGCCCGAAGCTCTTGGGATACATCCCTAGGGGGCTTTGGCTGCTCAAAATTAATGAATTTGGGTTCAAAACAGGAATTTTTTTGTTTTCAGTAGACATCAAAATAAAGCCATTTAATGATGAAGGCCAAATCAAAGCATCATTTTACTGGTTTTTTGTAGCGAGTATAATGTGAATCATTACCTTAAGTACAAACTCCAAAGCGAAAAAATTAAAGTAACTCTGGTGATAAAGAACATGATAAAATATTTTAGATTGTTTAAAATGTCTATAAAGCATATATAAGTATAGTGAGATAACGTACTTCCGAGTGTGAGTTTCTTTCTCTCCAGTTTGAAAGTGTAGTTTCGATGTCCACAAAATCTCCAAACTCAGCTGCAAATAGAAAAGAATGCTAATGAACAATGTTAGATCACTAGTCTTCTGCAATCATACAATGCTATACCATCGCTACAGGAAGTTTCTAGCTGCAGACAGTTTGTTGAGGCTTACACGTGAGAGTGGAACAAGTAAGTTCTGGTATTCAAACCAAATGGCTTTTGTAACCATTTATTCTTTGAGGACCTCGTAAACGGTAAGTACATGTCAGTCTAGGAAATACAAATGCTAGTCCAATATAAGGTCTTCAATCTTTTCATGTACGTATATCTGCAATTCTTACAGTAAAATGTACCTTAATCTTCGTAAGCATTCAAAATAAGCAGCATAAAACCGTTAGCTCACCAGACGGATTTCAAGACTTATATTGCATTATCACCTGAACATAATCATAACTTTTGATCTCCTCTAAAATACACCAAACTTTGGTTCCATCCATCATCCTAAAGCGATAAAATTTATAAGCATCATCATGTGTATCAGCCTTTTATCTGTAATAAAACTTTACTACGAAATAGATTAAATGGAACTAAGAATAAATAGGAGTGGACTAAGAGCTCAATTAATTGGTACGCCAACTAAATATATTGTTTTTTTTTTCAAAATGGACACTGCTTCACAGTGATCGATTTCAACCATATGGTAGCATTTTGATGTTCAATGCCCTTCCAAGAACACAATTAATGCGACCTTTTAGATTTTGCATGGAAATTTTCAAATCAATGTTTTGAACTTTAGATAATTTTGGGCAACTGAATTTATTTGACGTAGCACTTTATAAAAAAGAATGCTACCTAAGTTGATAGCAAAAATTATGAAGTAGGTCTGTGAATTGCAATTAATTTTTGACATTGTTTGTAAATTGCAGCAAATCATTTTTCAAATGAATTAAAATGTTTACTTAATGTGAATCGTTTATTATTAATACCTTGTTTACGTTCTTAAATCAAAGGGTATATTTTAAAATAGCTAAACAACTTACGAGCTGAGCGGTTACTTTTCATCTTAAGATAATGGCTTGGAATATCTTACTTTAAATAGTAGCAACTGATTATGCTCTTAAGACATTCATGATTACTTGACATGGTCACTGAAACACGCATGGGTTTCATGTTTAATTTAAGACCATAAAATATCAAAGTTAGAAATGTATGGAAATAAATTCAGTGGTATAAATACGAGCTAAGAGAAGAACAAAAGAGTAAACATCTGGTGTAAAGTAAATGATTGTAAGTGCTCACGATTTAATAAAAAATGCATTCAACTATATAATACAACTCAGCATATTGTACTGACTAACACTTTTGTCGCCCGGAAAATGTAATTTACCTCAATCAACCTTATGATCAAAACATAAAATTTATCGTTAAGCAGCTTGGCAATTCAGTTCTCATCTAGTGCCTCACTCTAATTTATAACTACCCATATCAACCATTTCTGTCCTTTTCTATATAAACCATTGATAGATGCACACTCACTGTGAAGGCGGTAAGGATAAAAAAGTTTGCATCAATGTTGCAAGAGCATATTGCATTAGGCCTGCCGTGTTTTTTCGGATGATAGTTTGAGATGATGAGAATTTTACAACGCTTTTACTAAGGTATATTTGTAGCAAGACTAAGTAAGCGTCCAACCTAATAAGATCTTTAAGTTACTATCTTGTTTTTAGTGTGCCGCCTGAATACAAAGACGGATTTTCTTGACTTATTGAAATATTAAGGTATATTTTCGAATTGTGTAGCAGTGTTTAGTTAGTTTCCTAATTAAATCTTGTATTTCTAGCTGATACTAAACCCACGGGTAGTCGAAAAACCTGAAAACTGATGTAATATGACGAGATGAATTTGCAGTTAGTACATGTGTTCTTACCTTGAAGACTATATGCTTGAAGTTTTATTGCTAATTTTAACGTAACAGGAAGAAGACCCATAGCAACATTCCTCCTGAGCTGAAGGTAAAACCAACGTCTTTTTCATAACATATAACAAGGACTTCTCACCTTATCTGTGGATCAGGCAAAAACTGTGGATTATCAATAAAAAGCATGACAGTAAGAGTTAGTGCATGTTGACGGGCATATTTGTCCAGTTGCTTTTTAATCGATTTATTAAGAAACAAACACTTTTGTTCTCCAGCCCAGTCCTCATAAGTGAATCCAAAAAAGTAAATCTGCAGTTAAATTTATTTCAATGAGTAATTGACATACATCTTCTATATCTAGTCTCTGAGCAACATATTCTAAAGCATCCCGACCAGTAGTGCTTGAAGATACAGTATACTCAACGCATGTGTTATCAAGTGTATATATTCTTATAACATGCAGATCTTTAGCTGCAACGTTATATCTATGTGTGCGCTTAAAATTTAACTTCAACGGCATCTGAGGCTAAACGCGAATACGTATTACGAACGTCATAATGCAACTGGTGGTAAGAAATGACAACGGAACTACTTAAACAAAATCCTTTGGAGTACATTTGAGAAACAACGCACAAAAGCTTATATTTAGTCTGATAACATATATTTCAGCCACATGCAACGCAGATGGTCACAAAACACGTTTTGTCAACTTCAAAATATTTGTTAGGGTTTCTGTTTTATCAACATGCACCAGCATTTAGTTTTCGTCTACTTATGATCATTACTTCTGAATCAGTAGGCTTCCCATTATTATCTAGAGTCACGTATATGACTAGGGTATTATAATTTCCGAACACGGGGCTATTATTCACCTTTACAGCATGATCTATCTTTTCTGGAATCCTCATTTCACGATGTCACATAAATTGGACAACTCTTATCAGCATAAAGAATTGACTACGCTTTCATTACATTCCGTTTCCATGTTTCCATCATCTATCTGCTTCTCCATATATGTGTAAGTAAGCCATTAAGGCGATTTACTACGTGTTTTTTATAAAAGGGAGGACGATTGTATCCGATACATTGTATAAAGCTTACGGAGTTCCCATATTCATACAACTAGGCCATGAGTATCCTGAGCAGTTCGAAAGAGGAAGAATTCACGGGTAATCTCTTGGTTAGCGGTAACATTGGACGCTTGCTATAGGAAAAACACAACGCCAGAAAGTTTCCATGGGCCTTTGTACGGCATACTCATCAGACCTCTATAAATCGATTCGGAATAAATGTATCTCTACAACATGTCTAGCTAGTAAGAAGTGAGAAAGTAGATTCACGAAAATAACTGTTAGCCATCAAAACTGAGTACGTTCGAACACCAGCTATGGAACAAGGATCTAATCGTAGACTCAGATGCTCATTACGTGAGTGAGTCTCAAACAATAGCAGAAAAGGATGATAAACCGTAACAAATGTCAAATTACTCCAACACGTTATTCATTCACAAGGCCTGCTTCGATGTGGAACTAACTATACAAGCGATATCTCCGAAGTGGTTACTTACACTGTAAGATCCATTTTGAAAGTTTTGTGTTTGTGAAAATCCCTACATGTATATATTTGTAATTTGTTCCTATCGACCCCCTTAGTTGTACATTGTTGTCTTTTGATTACATTTGAATTGTTAATATTTTTATTTTTTATTATAGTTTTTGTTTTTCTTACGCCTTCACTAAGTTTTGTGTTTCTTCCCGAACTGCATCTATGTTGTTTTACTTGATATTTGTTCTTGGCGGCAGCCATATTGATTTGCCCCTCCTTTCGTGTATGTTCTGTCCACTCAGGATAGAATAGCGTTCATTTGTTGTGACGGGTAATTTTCCTGCATCTTTTATCAACTTCTTTATTTATTGTAATTTAGATTTGATTGATTGAACACTTATTGGTTGAATAGCCGGGTGGTAATATTTGTTTAGGTAACGATTTGCATTTAAATTTATGATGAATTGTAGAACTGCTATTTACCCGATTACTTGTTTTGATTTAGACAGGCAAACGCGCGTGTCTAACCCACTTGGGAGGCTATTCTTCAAAACAAACCGTAGTTTGGATTCTACAACACTTAGATTCAGCAAGGACGACGTGCTAGAGATGTGATGTTTTTGTACCTGTGCAGCATCATCGATCAACAAATTCCAATGCAGATGCTTAAGCACGGATCGGCAAAAGATGGACAAAATTCGTACAACGAAACTATTTGGAACTAAAATTAACTGTTATCTAACGTCAAAGTAAGAATTTTCAACACAAACGAAAAGACGATTCTATTGTGTGGACCTAAAACCTGGTGAACTACCGTAAACACTAACAAAAAGTTACGGGCATTTATGAGTAGTTGTCCATGTGAGATACTCATGATCCGTTCGTTTGATGTCATCAGCAACAAACTGCAATGCCAGTAAACCAACCACCTTTCAAATGAAGAGGAAATTAGGGAAATAAGCTGGAGGTTGTTAGGACACAACTTGAGAAAATCATAAAACTGCACCATTAGCAAAGCCCCAACAGAGCCTTCTGACATGGGAGGCCAATAAACTCAGTGTGTCCGAAATTAGAAACAGACATCAAAGGAATAGGTAGCCCAAAAAGGAGCTGCCTGAAAAATTCTAGTCTGCGACTTATGCTGCATCGAGTGATACTGGGATTAGTATTTTGGTAAGATCCATTTTCTTGCTTCGTTATAGGAACATGATAAGCATCCCTGGATATGTCTTTTCTTCTTCATCATAACATTATTATTCCATTGTATTTATTCTTGCTCCTACCGCTGGTTGTAGTTTGGCATATTTATTTTCCTTTTTCGGTTCGCCTGCAATAATTAACACAACATCGTTTACATATTCTAAATTGTTAGCGACACTTCTTGGTTTCGCTTGACATTGTTTCGTGTCAGTTGCCTTATTTGACCTCTATACTTTGTCTGATACTTTGTGAACTGATTACTTCTATTCCATGAAGTCGGTTTTGAAGCACGTCTTCTGTTTGCCTTATAGCGTTTTCTATCAGTTACTGGTGCTTATTTATATTTATAATATAATTACAATCTTCTATTTGATTGTTCATCGGTGAAAAAATCCCATTTGACCTACCTTTTTTAGTAAGATATTTTTCCTTGACTATTAATTTTGTTAGCATTTTTGATTAGGTCAAATTAAGTTTCTGTGCCAGCCGGAAAAAGTACCGTTCGGGTACAATAAGTTTTCTATGCGCCCGCGTTTTCTCTTTCAGATCTTTTTCTGTAACATTCTGAACAACTCTCACATTATCATAATTTAGTCATTGAATGATGTCTTTTGAACAGTACAAATCGGGAAAATGCAGTTTAAAGGCTTCCAACGGCATATATAAATCAAGTAGTCAAAATTCAGATTTCATATCAGCTCAAAATTAGCAAAATAGACTGTCATCAAGGCGTTGTTTGACAAATTTGTTACACTTCTTCCTCTCATTCCTCATTAGCTGACTCCAGTCCAGCACTTCTCGGCCCACTCTGCGTTATGCAGTTTGGACGAGTGGATTTTGATACACATAGACATGACTAAAAATATATATGAACCAACTTCACTGATAGACACCAAGCTTTATATGTGATGAAAAATCAATCTTGAATTGATATTCAGGCCATAGTGTATCATAAACTTAAGACCATGGCACATTGTCATTCGACTAAATCTAAAGTATTTTAAATTTTATGAGCATCACGAAGAAATTTCATTCGACTGGACATGAATATATTCACCACATGTTACACTTCCCTGGTGAAGTGTTTTGAAAAATGAGGGTATGCCACAAGCATCTGTTTGACATTAGAACTAAATTATATGTGCAGTTCTAGAAATACTAGTTATACCATATCCAACTTATAAAGTTTAAGTCTTCTCTCTGTCCTGCTTCGGATTAGAGGACAAGTTCGTAGAATTATGATCTACTTTGATATTAGTACTGCTCTAATAATAGACCCAATCCCAAAATTGTAGATTTGTCATGATATAACTGTCTAATCTATATGATCTTACGTGGAAGTCACACCATCGATCACGCCAACTCACTGTACCGTATCAATTACCAATACATGATGTAGAGCAAGGTTAGGCTAGAGAAGGAACAATATATTTAATATGAATAGAAGATATAAGGTAACATTCAGAGGGGCCACGCCTGCATGGCAGAGCCATGCCATCCGATCAACTCCAATTCATTCAATCCCTTGTCACCGCCTTTTCCATCGTTACGTATTTCTCCGCGTTAAATATTGAATATCTATTTTCTGAGTAGTCTCGTGTTCACAGCTTTGTGGATTGTGTGGTTATTGTCCAATGCCACTACAAGTTCACTATGATATGTAATTACAATACGGAAACTATCACAAGAAGTAGTGCCCGTAGTTTTAAATGATTTATCCAGGTGAAAACCGAAAGTCGTTAAACGCTTACTGGAGAAAAGTTTCACAAGGGTTCTTAGCTTTCACCCTAAAAAGTTGATGCCACACTAAAACTTGAGTACATTTGTATCCTTTGAAAAATATGTTTATCAGTACATAGTTCGAAATTAATGTCTTATAAATTTCAAATTCTGTACGCAACCGCATTCATCTACCATCCAAGTGATCAAATTCTTCCTTTCTCTATTTTGTGTGTAATCTGCCTAGAATATAAATGGTTACCATTGTTGTTTGATCTTATCACATCACATAGATCTCATCTATGAATTGATTCAAATATATGTTATTTCAACTGTCCCCCATCCTTCCTTTTTTTATTTCGGTATAACTTTCTTTAATTTTTCGAATGCCACAACCATCACGCATTCAGAAGACCTTTAATTACAAGTGCTATATTTTATTTTTGAACCATCTGTCGTACGCCTGTATTATAAATGACATATAGGAATGTTTGCACGCAGTTGTCACTAAATTTCTCATTTTGTACTAGACTTACAAAATGGGAATAACAACACTTCTTATCAACATGTGGGTAAATGAGTGACATTTCAAATGTTATTTCAAGGGTCAAAATACTTTCTCCTTAATAATTTTACATAAAATATGTACTTCATTGGCCCTGTATCTGACTCCAATTGGATCGCATGATTGATTGTTGTCAAAATACACAACCTGGCTTTCCTCGTATAAAATTATCGATTTAACTCGCGTTAGTGAACAACGAAACCAAATAAGTCAAATACGAGAATGATGTTTGAATGCGAATATTCCATACAACCTTTGAGCTGAACAGTTAATTAGGGAAATGTAGCGAAGAGGAGAGTGAGAAGCGAAATGATGCGCGATGGAGAAGGCATGAAAGACAGCTCCATTTACTCAAGCGTTAATCAATCTTTATGGCCAGATAAAAATAGGTTACAGACACATGATAAATAGGATAAGAAGTATACACACGTACGCTCATATAAAAACAGTCAAGGTTGATAATCTATTAATTGCCAAAGTCAAAATGCAAA